TATGTACCCCCTTTAAGGGGCTGTATCTTAACAAGGGATGCTCCAATGAAGTTTCTTTATATGAAAGATCCTATCTTTTTTTCGATGAGGAATCAACTCCTTAAATTTTTTACACTTATTCAGTTACACCCTGTATAAACTAATCTGTCGTCCACTTATTGAATACTCGCACCCACTGTTTCTTAATATCAAACAAAGGACCTTGAAAACAATTAAAGTATCTGAAACAACGGCTACAAGGAAAATAACAAGATTGAGGTATCCCAATCCTCTGCTGTACCAACTCACTGGTACTATCCCTATCGAGGAAAAACTACCGTCACTTACTCAGAAGTTTGCTACAAAAGACGAATAATTAGAAAGTATGCTGTGACAAGAAACCCCCATGCAAGAGTACGACATCAACCACAGACATATATATGTCTGTGACATCAACACCCAACAGAAACACTGTTAGAGAAATTAACACAACTTTATCAATGAAATTGTTTTGTTTGTTTGCCAAAACTGAGTATTTTGTAATTGAGTGTTCCTGAATCAATTCTAACCTAAATATTCATGTGTAAATGTCGCTAGAAATGACATTTTAATAATATCTGCATTGTTCATTCTGTAGCTATACAGGAGGCTGGGGAAAAGTGGTCAATCACTTCACCTCTGGCATAAAATGAATCTATTTAAAACACTTTCCCAATACCAGAACAAAAAAATACGGTCTCTCGACGCAAGTTTCGTTAACCAAGTTTTACTACTCTTAGTGTTTTTATATCCTAGTGGCCTAAGTACTACCTGTTTGTATTACCTAACTACACCAATTTAAAATTATTACGTATAGGAATACTCCTGGATCAAAAGCTAACATGAGAGGCACATATCAACAGTTTATATGTAAAGGTTGGCAGTGCAAACTACGCAATTCGGAATCTGCGAGACACTGTCTGTACAGAAGTTATAAAACTCATGTATCATGGACTGGTACAATCAAGGCTACAGTATGGATTGACCTTCTGGGGTAACTCTGCATATACTGACCGCATTTTTAAAGTTCAGAAAAGAGTCATTCGCTATATGGACATGTCTCGTCCACTGGACTCTTGTAAACCACTATTAAAACATTTAGCATCTTATCATTGCCATTCGTCTACATATTACAGCTAGTGTTATACATCTATGATAATAAACACCTATATCCAAAAAACTCTGATATACATAATTACGCTACTCGGGGTGAAGATACTTTATACCACCCCTACTCTCGCTTGAGTGTGAGTCAGAATTCCCCAAAATACTTGGGTATTAAATGCTTCAATAAAATAACTTTTGTTGGATAACTGCTTCTACAGTATGGATAAATTTCTTGCTTTCAGTGCTTAGATATAGTTTCTTTTATATGTAGTCTTTTTTGAATTTGTTCAAGATCAAACATTTGTGTTTAGCTTTTAGCGTTTTACTTCTTTGACTAGTCACTAGTCCAATACGTTTTCTCATGTATTTAATCTTATAATTGTGTATGTGTGAAAATTTTAGTGATGAATAAAACTAGTTCTATTTCTTTCTTCATAAGACCAAACAAAGGACTGTTCGAAATAGGACTTGTGTCGCTATTCATTTTTATATAGCTGTAAATTGTTTTATATAAACATATATTGTAAAATAATAGATAAGGCAAAATTGTAAAATTAATTTAGGTTGGTATACCTGTATTGGTGGTACGCCTGTCTTCTCACGGACGGGTCTCCATAACGACCGACATGTCCAAAAATCCGGTGAGTCATTTCAACACCTGAAAACAAATTTTGGTTCACACCTTTAATTAAAAAAAAATTGGAGGGCTCCACCATCGATTTTACATTGAGCTTAGAAATTGTCTGAAAAAAATCAGTAGAAGGTTAATGAAATTTTTGAGATATAAGTATGTCTGTACTATTGTCAAGGCAGTGCGAAGGGGGTGGGGGACGGCAACTATGGAAATTGTTGTGGTAGAGCAGAAGCCCCTCGGACCGGCCCTGCGCCATTGAGGCTGTCTGAGAGTGCAACAGGCAATTGTATCGCAACATTTATATTTTGTTAAACATTTTGTCGACTCTACGAGTAACCACGTGCACTTCGGAAAGGTCATTTTCTACACTTAGACGCCTAAAAACCTACCTACGGAATTCTTGTGGGCAAGAGAGGCTAATCGGGTTGGCCCTAATGGCAATTCACAGAGATGTCATCATCCCAATTGATGATGTTGTAACAGAATTTGCCCATAAAAAGTCTAGAAGGCTTGATTTTGTATTGCAAATTCACTGAACTGGAAATTTGAGGTTTTTCGTTTTAGAAACGAATATGTAAGTACAGTCTTTCCAGTGGAGGGCTTTTCCCGTGCCAATGTAATGGTAATTAATTGAATTTGAATTGGCAGGTCTTGAGACCCCCCCCCCGAAACAAAAATCTGGGCATGTTCATTACACAAATACTGATCAACACTACATGTAAGATACATAAATAACATCAATAAATCACATATGCGGCACCATAACAAAGTATGTATGCCACACGTAGCTACAAATCTTAGACACCCGACAGAAAAACAACAGCTAACTCAGTTAATGCCGCGCATAGAACTGAAGTAAAACCGTCAGGCACCCTTCATTTGGAAGATTCGTAGGAAGTAACTTCCTATAAAATGTGAAAATATGAAACTAATTTTCTTTGGTCGACAGATTGGTTTCAGAGTACTACCTCATCGTCAGTGCCGGGTGGGTCATTTCAGACGGAGTAAACCGTCTGAATATCCCCAACAAACAGTGGAGAGTCGTCCAGGTTTTGTTCAGGTTGGATCCTGGCTCTCTAACCCTTTCAACTGATGTTTGTCAGAGGGACAAATGGGTCATGACTGATGGTGGGATGGCGACATGAATGTCCTCAGACATCAGTGCCGCCCTTCACGGTGTACCCCTATATGGCTGGGGTGAAATGGATGAAAAGATTATTCATCTTTTAACGGAGGACACAGGGTCCTCATTCGACAGAGTGTCGAGACCTTCTATATCGGAAGGGGTCGTCTACAGCATAATCCATACCTTCCCTAACTAGCGGATTTTCATGAGTTTCTGCGCAATCAAAAACTCGCTGATTACTCGACTGAATGGACTGCCGAATGGAAGGCAGCTGCAAATCTCTGCGGATGGCTTCATTCCGCACGAACCAAGGAGCATTCACAATCATCTTTATTAACTTGTTTTGCAATCTCTCCAGACGGAGAGACGGAGCCGCTTGTCCTCAGACGTCTGACAGGCTTGAACATCGTGTTGTACATTTTAATTTTATTTTGGAGACTTATTTTAGATCTTCTGTTGATCAGAGGGCACAGACTAGCTATCCGGCCCTCGATCTTTGTTTTAACTGATATAATGTGCGGGTTCCAGGTGAACCTGCGGTCTATTAGAAGACCGAAGTACTATACCCGCGCTTGCCAGTTATCTCCCTCACTTAGAGGTAGAGCTTAAATATTTTATAACTATCATTCAGTTTAAACCTTTTATATTATGTAGATGTAATTATAACCATAACTATTTTACTAGTATATTCCCACCTGACTTGTAAACATGAAGAGTGTAGAACATCAATAAAATTTTCTTTCTTCCCTAGCCGGCGAAGATATCGTTCTTCCCATGGTTATCGCCTGAGTTTTTTCTGGGTTCACTCGGATCTTCCACTCGAGGTACCAGCACTCGAGGTCGTTCAATGCACGTTGCATATAGACGATCCCGAGCTCCCGAAGATGAGAGGAGAGCCGTGTTATTGCCGTAGAGAGACACCTTCATACGCTCGGACCTCGGAAAGTCGTTGGTGTAGAGCGACTATAACGTGGCCGCGAACCCCGAACAAACAAAATTAATTGTAACTAGTTATAAGCTCTGCCTGCAGTTGATTCAGTACGATGTACATCGTCGCCATCTGCAGACAAAGCCCAGAAGCGGCTGCATAAACATATACTCCGGGTTGGTAGTCAGAATAATAAACATTTTCAGGGAGGTGCATATGATATGCCAAAGTTCCAGTGAAAATACCAAACTCTTGCCTCTCATGTGTGACCTACGATTTTGTAGGTACGTGTGGCAGATACCCATCGGAAAAACAACAGATTAACTCCTAAATGTTCGTTGAAAAGTGCGTTTATTCTTCGGTCACGTAAAAACGATTGACCTGCGGCAGAATTTCTTGATAACCAAAGACCTAAACTTGTATAAACTTGCAAAACGTGGCATTATGCTGAAACCTTACCGTCTCTGTAAATTGATTCTTTGATTAAGATGGTGAGACAAAAAATTAATAAAATTTACAAAATCTTGCTTTAATGTTTGTATTAGGTTCCTAATAGATGAAATATTTGAAATAGATGGGCCGTCTGTGGGACCAGTTTTTTTACTTTGTGCCCGTGCTTAATGTGTTAACGGTGTCACATAATAATGAGCGAGAGAGAAGTGAATAATCAAAATTTTGAGAAAAATTAACAACATCAATGTTCAGAGCACAAAATTCTCTGTCGATCAGTTTAAACCACGACACCGTAGAATAAATATTTATTGAGATATGGAGCTACAAAAACACGACATTAAAACGGATGAAACTTTTGAAACAAACTAATAGCTATAATACTTCAAATTGTAAATAGTGATTCTAATATGTTTAAAATATGTTTTTCCGTTAATCAACTGTCGCACCCCTACGAACGACCCTCAGAAGGCGAAACTTGTGCGAGCTAAGGACTAACGGGGTTTTACCTTTAAACGTGTGATTCCTAACACGGAATAAATTAAACAATTATCAAAACGCAAGTTTTTAAATTGATTTCGGTCTGTGTTATTTCAGTTCAAGTACACGTATTCTCAAAGAACTCAAAAAAGTGCTTACTACTTCACAACTGGATTATTTGGAAGAGCAACAGCAAAAGACGTTTGGTATCCAGAACCTTCAAGAAAAGATCCAATTTTACGGGTAAGATCTTGTTGCCGTGTGAAATTAAAAATATTTTGATACCTTTTTTCAGTTTTACAAGTTATGTGACAAGTGGAATACAGAGGTCAAGAAAAATCCGTCGGCTATGCAAGAGAAATTGATTTTTCTGAATGGTCCAGAAATGGCAGATACTGTCAGGGATGTTAATGATAGATTAGGTCTCAGAGAGGAACTATTGACTTTAGGTTAGTTGAGTCCAATTTCTTAGAAGCATATTTAAAATTAAAACTCTCTAATTCAGAAATGTCAAAAAATTTCATTGGAATCAGAATAGAATATAACAAATCAAAAATGTGGTTATTGTTATTTGAATTTGTAAGAATTTTTCACAGTTCCTAATTTATTTAATATTATCAATTTTCAGATGACATTGTTTTAATGTATGAAATGTGTGGGTTCGAGACAGCATGGAATAAGAAAAGCAAATCTCCATGGTGTTCTCCTTTTACTGTTGACAATTTAAAGGTAATTAATGTATTAAATTATCTATTCCTCTAAATTTAGAAGATAAATTATACTCGGGACAACGAATCATTACATGCATCATCATTTTTTGACACAACGAAGACAAAACAGTTAACATTTACGTTTAATCAGCAAAAGATCTTGTGTGTGGAAGATAGCTTTCACTGAACCAACATTTTAATTTAAGTCTCTACATTTCAAGACTTATACCGCACACATGGTATTGTTCGCAACTAATAAACTTCACATTTCACAATAAGTAAATTCCATATCATGATTACCTCTATTTGGCAATAGTTTGTTTGATGTTCTGCATAATGATTTATTTAAATTGTCTCATATCAGAATTGAAATATTAAATGTAAAGTATTTACAGAACAATTAATGAAATGCTGAAAATTTTTATCAAAATGGGCCCCAAACCGTAACATGGGGTTACTTTTCAATGATTTCAATGGATAAAAACATTTTTTTATTAATCGTTTATTCATTTATTTATTTATCGGTCAAGTACACTACAGAATTATTATAAAATCCCAAATGGTACGTCAAGAAAGTTTCAATTGTTGAAACCTGTCAAGCATTAGAGTTCAGTTATGAACCCAACAAATAAAGTCCTTAATATAACTATTATAATTGCTTAAAAATAAATAAACCTATTTATTTTTTATCAGTCCTATACACCACAAACTATTAATAAAATACCAATTGAAACATAAAAAAAAAATATTAAAAACACAAAAATAAGCTTAAACACATTCAACACTAATGAATAATTAAATTATAAAACTAAAACGTAACTATGTCAAGTACATTACAGAATTGTAACAAAGTCCCAAATGTTACATCAATGTGCAAACAAACCCTAGAGTCAAGTTATTACTTCATATTAAATAAAGGTATGCATTTTCATTTGACAAATAGTGCATTAAGTTCAAATTGAAAAAAAAAAGACATGTACGAATACTAGAATAAGTTATGATTATTAAAAGAAATAATAAACGACTATTCAGAAGTTTAATGAACAAACTCTTGATGAAGTCGTCTAATTGCCATTTTTTTGAATTTTAAATATGACAAATGAAAAAGATCAAGTTCTGAAAAGTATGTATTGAAATTTTTTTGAAGCCTACAACTTATTGCCATCGAGCCATAGTTAGTCTTGTGGAATCGCAACCCAAATGAAAAAATGTGATTGCTTCTTAAGGATCTTGAGTTAACAGAAAGGCAAAGGTCATCTAAAATAGCTGAACAATTGTAGTGGAAGTTTATTATTTTATGAAGGAATAGAACCATTGCAAGTTTACGTCTGTCCTCAAGTGATAATAAATCTAATACAGACAGCCTCATTTGCGAGGTAAATCCATAGTAGGGTAGGCCAAGTTTCCAAATTATATATTTAGAAAAGCGATTTTGCACTTTTTCAAGCCTCTCTTTATGACAAGAATAAAGAGGACACCAAATTACACTATTATATTCCAAAATACTCCGAACCAGTGAAAAGTATAATGTCTTTATAGCATCATATTCTGTAATATGCCGGGTATTCCTTTTGATGAATCTGAGCATTCTGAATGCTCGAGTAGTCGTCGTATGTTTCATTTTTATTTCTTTGTCAACTCATTTCAGATGCACAAATTGATGATGCATGAGTAAACATCCCTTGACCATACTATGAGTAGATTTTGGTTTGGATATTAACTAAAATATTCAAGTAACACTTTATTTGTGGGATTATCACTGAACAATTCATGAAACTGCAACACGTGTTTCACTATACAATAGCTTCCTCAGGCGTGTTCATAACGGTTTACAAAACCACAACACGTGTTTCACTATAAATATCTATTTTACAGTGAAACATGTTTTGCGGTTCTGTAAACCATTCAAACATATTATAGCTTCCTCCGGTGTATTCATATTATGTATGGATAGTTTATAAAACAGCCTTATGTGTTTCACTATGTAATAGCTTCCTTCTGTACTCATATCGTGTATGAACACGTCTGAGGAAGCTACTGTGTAGTGAAACACGTGTTGCGATTTTCTGAACTATTCATTCTTAGTATGAAGACGCCTGAGGAAGCTATTGTATACTGAAACACGTGTTGCACTTTTGTAAACTGTTCAGTGAGAATCTCACTGTAAAGTGTTACTTGAATAAGTTAGGTACATATTAAACAATATTTTTCAGGTATTAGAATATGCCGAGGACCTTAAGTTTTACTGGCAAGATGGGTATGGATATGAGTTGACATATAAACAAGCTTGCCCTGCTTTTGCAGATATGATGACTTTCATGCAATCGTAAGTATGATTCCACAATGAAACAAATTATTCTTATTTTCGAATTAGTTTGATAGATTCTTTTTTTTTTAATTTTTGAAGAAGAATTTTTGCTTATCATTCCGTTTTAAGGAACTATTCCTTTATTCATTCCAAGAAACAAAGGTGTTTATATTAGAAATTTCAACATAATTAAAAAACATGAAAACAACAATACTTAACATATAACAACAGTTATAACAGTTCAGAGAGTCAAAAATAATTACCGATAAAAAAGTTTCAATAATGAGAGTTTATTTCTCCAATAACAAAAAATCTTTAGTAATGAGCATTTGTTTTTGAATTTCCCTAGGGATTTTTTTTATTATTTCTGGTAACCGAATAAAAATAACAATACCTTGCTTCAATTGATTGGTCTATATTGAATTGGTTACGTTTGGTATTATAATTATGGATATCTTTGATTTTTTTAAATTTTACGTTGAAATTTCTGAGGCCAGTAAAAACTTCATGTATGAATATACATATTCTTATTTTATTTGAAAACAAAAAAGATTTATTGCTTTATGAAAATTCATAGTCGGTTCCGGTTGGGATAATTTATTACCCTGTTTTGTAATCTTTTCAAAGATTTCGGACTATGTTGGGTGGCCGAGTCTCAAATGTGGATTTAGTTATTGAATCTAGAGTGAATAAGTGAAAAATAGACATTTTTCAAACAAATTAGTGGGATATACATCCTAATTCTGTATAAAATACCTAATATTTCATCAATATAGATACCAAGTAATAGGGTAGTTTGTTTATAGGCCAGTTTTCAGACAGGGTTTGATCTCTGTTGGATGAACGAGAAACATCTGTGAGACTAACCTCTGTGAGGTATTTTGCATAAAATATAATTCAATATCCAGCGCTGTATTAGCCGGGGAAGCCGGCATTTTTCAGAACCTGCGGTTTAGGTAGTTGGGAGAGATGAATATTTCGAAATATTTATTTTTTAGTACGTATGTATCTCTACTAGATACAGTCTTCAGGAACGATTTGATCTCTGTTAGATATTATCTTCACTGAGAGCTGAAAACTCCACGACAAATATCGTTTTACTTTGAAGCTCGAGGAGAACTACATCAGGATTATCAGCTTTCACCAGCCTGAGGGTAGGGAATGAGTAGTTGCCATAAATTCGGCACTTCTCACAGCGGATTCAATATCCTCCAGATTGTATGGCAATAACAGTGCCTCGTCAATGCCGTAGGAGTGCCGAAAATAGTAATCTTTTTTTTGTGCATCTACAAATATATCATTATTATTACCTTGTCGAAACACCCAAACTCTGCTGTTGCTCATCTTCTGTAGCTAGAGGAATATTCATAGTGCAGTTAGTTATTATCAAATGGAAATTTCCAATTCCAATTTAAATACGTTGCTGAAATTATGAAAATGAAATCGATGCCACAATTTATTGGAAACTTTAATTTATAGGAGGATTCGTTTTCCAAGAGTTACTGTTTACTTCTCACATTCAGGAACCATATTGAAAATGTTGGCTCATCTTGGATTGTACAAGGATGAAGAAGTGCTCACAGCTAAAAACTACGAACATATGTCGGGTAGGAAGTGGAGAACATCTCTCATCGATAGTTTTGGTTCTAATATAGCATTTGTTCTTTATGGGTATGTAAAAAATGAATATTTTTTGATACATGTATGTTTCTTTTATAGAATTGGAGTTCTCGTACACCATTCAATTGACTAATAAAAAAAACTTTTTTAGATGTGGGAGCGAAAATAAGCTTCTAACTTTACATCAGGAAAACATCATTCGGCTGCCAGCATGTCCAGATACTGACCTATGCGATATCAATAAAATTGAGGAGTTTTATTTGCAAAGCTTTGAAAGCTGTGACTTCAATTCAATTTGTAACAACAACATTCGCAGGTGATACAGTATTCAGAAGTAATAGTAATTTTACGTACCCGGTGATATTCTATAAACCAAAATTAAATATTAGTTTATTTATCAATACATTGTCCGTGAACAGTTTCACATAAACTGTCCAGTTATTCTTTACTAACTATTGATCTTAATGCATTGTAACAAAGAAATATCAAGAGTTATCGTGAAAATCACTGAGTATTGCTTTAATTTCAAATTATATATATTTTTCTAATGAGTGTTTTATTCATCAACAGCAATTTTGTTTCATATTGAGTGAAAGATACTCACAAATGTACGGAAGGAGAATATATTGTACCATTGGATAGATATTTTAAGGATTTGTAACAACTGATGCCACTAAAACCAAGGGCATTGACTGTGTAAACACCATTCACATTAAAATTTGGGAGGATTAGCGTTACAAAACAGAATTTGTTGAGTTGGATAAATACCTACTTTAAACAGTTCAACAATTTAGTGAATTGAAAATTTCCTAGAGTATCAGAAAATGATTTTTTTCTCAAAATTCTAATTCAATAAAAAAACGCAATGCCTGCGATAAAGAAATGCCCTCTATGCTTGCTTGACTTTCTAAGAAAAAGACAAATGATAACATAATTAGACCCCAGAATTTTTAGTTCGATAAAATATTTTGAGAAACCATATGCATATAAAAAATGGTTTTTCGAGAAATGGAAAGCATATGCAAACACGTTTTAAAATATTGAGATGTAACATTACAAGGATAAAGTTTTTTGTGGAGACTTGAAATGGATAAGGCTCCCAAGTAGCGGAAAAAAAACTCTACCAGTTATTGAAATTCACTATCGAGTTTGGGCTCAATAAAAGTTAATAAAAAGTTGAAATTTGTCAAATTGAGCCTATCAAATATTTATATATGATGATCAATAGGCATTTGAAATGTGACCATATTTCTTATATCATAAAAAATGCGATACCTAATACCTGAATTTAAATTTTCAAAACAATTCTTTTAGTAAAATATCTTGAAAAATTGGAAATTGGAAAATTGTATCTGAGATCACATAAAAATAATAAAAAAAGAAGATAGGTGATCACATAATTGAAGACACGAATACAATTGTATCTAAATTTAATAATTTTTATTTCAGAATCCTTTCACAGAAATTGAATGACTTAATTTATTGATGACCAAACTAAAAAATGAAAAAATCATCAGGTCCAGATGTCATTCCTTGGTTTATATTAAAAAGAGTTCTTTTATTAATATGACATATTGATATCGTTCTCATTAGGAGTTTTTCCTCAGAAATTAAAAACTGGAAAAGTAATTGTTATATTTAAAAAAAAGGGACATGACTTCGATGGAAAATTATCATCCTATTCCAGTCCCATATGACTTTTCTGAATTATTTGAATATGCCTTTCTGGATAGACTTCATTCATTTTTAAATCATCATTTCATTTTAACCCGAAAGCAACATGCATTTTGTTAACAAAATCCCACTAATACAGCAAAGTTTTCATTAATAAATCAAATTATCACACACGTGACATACATGTGACTGCCCAGCAGTACTCCTGTGTGATTTGAGCCGTGCGTTTGACTGTGTCAATCATGAAAAAAATGGCTTCAGAACTGGAATGTTATGGTATAAGAGGTGTTTCACTCAGTTGGATACATTTATTTCTGTCATTGTAAATGAGGAAAAATAATAGTACCTTTTAATTTATTTCTGAACGTAGAAACAGGTACCACAGGGATCTATATTAGGTCCTATTTTGTTCATTCTCTATGTAAAGAACTATAACTGAAGACAGTACACAGCCTATGCTGATGAATTTTCATTAATTGTCTCTGCATCTGATACTACAATTTTAGAAAATAATTGTTTGAGAGCATTAAATCAAGTATGCAGTTTTTTTGATGGGCGCGATTCATTTTTCAACCCAGATGAAATACAGGTTATTCATATTCACAATCGCTGGAAAAAAAAATCCCAGTTCAATCTGAATCTGAATAACATATCTTTAAAAAGTGAAGGTAGTAGTGTTACATTTTTAGATATTCATCTGGATAAATTCCTGAGTTGGAATAGACATTGCCAACATCTGATATCATTTATAGGACACAAGATACAGGAATAATTCAACTTTGGAGAATGAATTGTATAATAGGTAACGGTATTTTTAAATAAATTATCAATCAAATTTATAAAATGGTACGTCAGATCATATGATGACAACGAAATCTTTTTATTCCTCTAGGGGTAAATGACCATTTTACATAATCATGTTGCATTTTTGCCTCCGCTAGCGCTTTTAGATTAGGCATTTCTCTTTTAATATAGCAGTTTTTTCTAGTTATGAATATTTTGAATATAGGTCTATATATTCTTAATATACTATATGAGGAACTCTAATCTGATCTCTTGATTAGTTCAATAACCTCTTGAATATGTTATTTTATTAATGATAACTAAATAAACCACTATGATCACTATAAAATGTAGGCATATTACAAATTGAACTATGACATCAAATTAAGTTACTTCATGTTTCACATTTCATTTTCATGATCATTATTTTTGGAAGTATGAAGCATTTATTTGTTTTTTGAACATGAGTCAGTTTTTTATAGTTGAAATAATCAGATATAAGTTACTGATGAACAAAACATTTTCACTATTGAAAAATAATTTAAATTCACAAAGTAACTTACCAGGGTCAACTAGAAGTTTGGTTTTACACCTGTAGATTGTGGAAGCCGAAAATTCCTAAAAAGGTTAATGAAAAACACCGATATCCTCCATATAAATAACTTTTGTCAAATATTCAATTTTTATTTATAAAAAAATATCAAACATCTAACTGAAACTATCGCACATGTAAATTTACTTAACATGCAACTCGGTTGGCATTTTCTTCAAAACGCAAATTCCATCCAAGGTAGGTGCGACCACTTCAAACTGATCTGTCGCTAGTTCTGCCCTTTCAGCACTTGCAAGCAATACAGGTGTCGTATGGGTATGGATACCAGCTATAGTTTTAGGAGTTCCTGCTTTTCCAACTATGTCCACTGCTTGACCAACCCGCACAGTAACCGGTAGGGTATTAAGGTGTTCGTCGAGTGTCAGCAGCCATCTTGGTTGCAGAGCGGCTGCCAGCATATAGAGGAGGTAGTGCGATTGGCCCAGTATAAGACTCTGTGGTTCTAGGAGAGCAACCATAGTAACCAGCAGACCTCAAATGAATAAATAGATGTTAGAAATTAAAATCACGAGTAAGAAATCAAATTATTTAAGGTACAACTGAATTCCGCAAATGTTTCGTTTGATAAGCATCTCATGTACTGAAACACATTTTTGGGTGTATTGATGAATCGCAGTAACGTCTGAAGGTAGGGTTTCTGTGTTGCCAAAACTGAGTATTTTGTAATTGAGTGTTCCTGAATCAATTCTAACCTAAATATTCATGTGTAAATGTCGCTAGAAATGACATTTTAATAATAACTGCATTGTTCATTCTGTAGCTATATAGGAGGCTGGGGAAAAGTGGTCAATCACTTCACCTCTGGCATAAAATGAATCTATTTAAAACACTTTCCCAACACCAGAATAAAAAAATACGGACTCTCAACGCAAGTTTCGTTAACTAAGTTAGCGCCCTCGGGAGATCATTATGACTAAATTTTACTACTGTTAGTGTTTTTATATCCTAGTGGCCTGAGTACTACCTGTTTGTATTACCTAACTACACTAATTTAGAATTATTACGTATAGGAATACTCCTGGATCAAAAGCTAACATGGGAGGCACATATCAACAGTTTATCTGTAAAGGTTGGCAGTGCAAACTACGCAATTCGGAATATGCGAGACACTGTACAGAAGTTATAAAACTCATAAGGTCCTATTTCGAACAGTCCCTTGTTTGGTCTTATACGTAGAAATTCTAAATAAAAAAAAAGATAAATATTAGAGATGAATCACTACATAGGGAAAATACATAACAAATTAGAAGTATTAAAACAGGTAGTTTCGCATAGGATCAATAACAGGTAGTACTTATATAACATTAACTGGTGTAGTTAGGAAATACTAACAGGTAGTAGTTAGGCTACTAGGATAGTAAAACACTAACATATTTTGTTCTGGTGTTGGGAAAGTGTTTTCAATAGAATGAAAAAACAATTAAACAGAAAGATTACCTGCTAATGCTAAGGGATCTACTAACATCCGGTCTGTATGTAGTGGGTTGAATGTCAAAGTTCCTTTTCCCATATGGACAAGGCCTTGAGAAAACCGCACCATAAATAACTGAGAAGGATTTTTACCATGAAATACGGCCAATTGTCGCAAGCTTGCGGCCAATCGAGCATTGTTGGTACCAGCACCTATAATGCCTAACCCAAAGATGGCGTTTGACGAGACTTCTTCGTCTGGATCATGAGAGTACTTTGTGAGGATATCGATGACCGCCAACTGTGGGTTGGAGACAGAAGATAGTGATATTGCTAGAGGTACTGCCCTTCTCACGGACGGGTCTCCATAACGACCGACATGTCCAAAAATCCGGTGAGTCATTTCAACACCTGAAAACAAATTTTGGTTCACACCTTTAATTCTTGATTTCAGAAAGTACAATGCCATGCCATGTCATATTTGGATTCAGTTTATCTGTGCTTCTTTAAAGTAAATCTTCAACCTTTTTTTAAATTAGAAAGAGAATACCATTTAAAATCACTGCGTAAAAGATTATATAATTTAGGAGCATTGTATGAAAAGCTACAGGTAAAAATGGCAAAACGATGTCTAGATATGATGATTGATATACTGTTTCGAGTATGTGATCTACTTACATTGGAAAAAGTTGTCAGCTTACAAAAGAGATTTTCTGGTTTTTTGGAAATGAGGATCTTATGAGTGTTAGTTAAGAGGTGCGAAATTCTGAGGGTATCTAGTTTCAACCAACCAGAATAGAATAGAATTTATAGAATAGAATTTATTCATCATTGAAAATTTTAAAATTGCATTGCATTACATAACACTTATAAAATTTTATCAGACTAGTCAAACGTGAGCACTATGCTATATATAAAATATAAATAGATACATACATGTACATTACAAAAATAAAAGAAAAGCATCTTATTGACTTATATTAAGAGATTAAAAATTCTGGCACGGAATAAAATGCATTATTTGCTAGGTGACTGTATAGTCTCGATTTAAATGTTTGCGACTGCATTTATTTCCAAATAGTTTGACTGCATGGTTATAGAAAATGATTCCTTGATAACTTGCAGAGTCCTGTCCAACCGCCAAATGTGAGTAAGGTAGTCTCAATATTTTTTGTGTAGTGAGAATCTTTTTTTTTATATTTACAGCTACTACATATATGTACAGGCAGGGAAGAGTAAGTATGGACAGCTGAGTGAATGTGTTCTTACATGATTCTTTATACTGAAGTCCAGCTAGGCATCTTATAACTTTTTTTTGAGTTTAAATGCTTTCACGGCCTGAGCTGAGTTTCCCCAGAAGGGCAATCCGTAAGATAAAATAGACTGCACAAGTCCATAGTATATGAATTTTAGCACCTCCATCGAGACAGTTCCACGTAATTGTTTTATTATAAAACATATGCTGCTCAGTTTTGTTACTATATTTTCTATTTGTACTTCCCACGTTAGTTTTTGATCGATTGTTAGACCTAAATATTTGAAGTGACTTACATACTCAATGGACTTGCTATCCATTTTTATAAGAGGACAAAAATCATAGGAAATGTTTTTCTGCTGGAAAATCATAAATACCGTTTTCGTGACACTGACTGTTAATCCATTATTTTTACACCACTTGGAGAATTCATGTGATACTGCATTTGCTGCTTGTACGAATAGAGATAACTCGTTTCTTGCCACCATTTGAGTTGTGTCATCTGCATAGATTATTGTTTTTTGTTGTGACGTATTTGAATTTTCTATATCACTCATGAAGAGTATAAAAAGAATTGGAGCCAGGGTTGTCTTCTCACGGACGGGTCTCCATAACGACCGACATGTCCAAAAATCCGGTGAGTCATTTCAACACCTGAAAACAAATTTTGGTTCACACCTTTAATAAAAAAAAATATTGGAGGACTGTAAAAAACCTTGAAATGCTCCACCATCGATTTTACATTGAGCTTAGAAATTGTCTGAAAAAAATCAGTAGAAGGTTAATAAGATTTTTGAGATATAAGTATGTCTGTACTATTGTCAAGGCAGTGCGAAGGGGGTGGGGGACGGCAACTATGGAAATTGTTGTGGTAGGGCAGAAGCCCCTCGGACCGGCCTTCTTGCGCCATTGAGGCTGTCTGAGAGTGCAATAGGCAATTGTATCGCAAGATTTATATGTTGTTAAACATCTTGTCGACTCTACTAGTAACCACGTGCACTTCGGAAAGGTCATTTTCACTTAGACGCCTAAAAACCTACCTACGGAATTCTTGTGGGCAAGAGAGGCTAACTGGGTTGGCCCTAATGGAAATTCACAGAGATGTCATCATCCCAATTGATGATGTAACAGAATTTGCCCTTAAACAGTCTAGAAGGCTTGATTTTGTATTGTAAATTCACTGAACTGGAAATTTGAGGTTTTTCGTTTTAAAAACGAATATGTAAGTACAGTCTTTTCAGTGGAGGGCTTTTCCCGTGAATTGGCAGGTCTTGAGACCCCCCCGAAACAAAAATCTGGGCACGGCCTTGTATATTGTCAAATCTAGAAAGAGACTTGGAAATTCTCACAACTTGCACATTTCCTAACAGAGAATGTAATGAACCATGTTCATTACGCAAATCCAGATCAACACTACATGTAAGATGCATAACATCAATAAATCACATATGCGGCACAATAAAAAAGTATGTATGCCACACGTAGCTACAAATCGTAGACACCCGACAGAAAAACAGCTAACTCAGTTAATGCCGCGCAGAGAGCTGAAGTGAAACCGTCAGGCACCCTTCATTTGGAAGATTCGTAGGAAGTAACTTCCTATAATATGTGAAAAGATGAAATAATCGGAAAGTCGCTGGTGTAGAGCGAAAGTTGCTGGTGTAGAGCGAGTATAACGTGGCCCCGAACCAACAAAATTAATTGTAACTAGTTATAAGCTCTGCCTGCAGTTGATTCAGTACGATGTACCACGTCGCCACCTGCAGACAAAGTCCAGAAGCGACTGCATAAACACATACTCTGGGTTGGTAGTCAGAATAATAAACATTTTCAGGGAGGTGCATATGATATGTCAAAGTTCCAGTGAAAATACCAAACTCTTGCCTCTCATGTGTGACCTACGATTTTGTAGGTACGTGTGGCAGATACCCATCGGAAAAACAACAGATAACCCAGCTAATTCCGCGCAGAGAGCTGAAGTAAAACCCTCAGGCATCCGTCATTTGGAAGATTCATCCCAAGTAACTTCCTATAGTATGTAAAAAGCTGATAATATTTCAAAAAAAAACTCAAGACCTACCAATATCTTCTCCCATTGAAACCACAGCAACTGCAAGTGTCGCCATTGCCTGCCCCATAGAATAATCCCATTCGGGCCTCCTCGCATTCTTGATTTTCGTGAAACCGTCCTTCTTCTCTTTCTTCTCCGGTTTATCTTTTTTCTCCTTCTTGGGTATTTCGACCTTTTCTCCAACGATATGCAGCAGCTCTTGAATAATCAGCACGTCTCCGGAACCAGCATAAGCGCACATCAACAGAGCGGTTTGGATGGATGTCTTGAAAGGTTCATCAAGTACGTTCATGGCTTCCGAAGGAACCTCTATAGATTCACGAGCTCCGAAGTAACACAGCGCCAATCCCAAACCGACGAGTCGCATGTAAGCTGATTTCAGAACGTCGCTATCTTTGAGTTCGATTATTTTGTTTAGTATTGTAGTGGACACTTCGTTATCGTATTTTCCTATGGAAATGAGTCCACACGACAGGCTGAGAATGGACAATATTTCCAAGTTTTTACATTGTGGTATTAATGGCAGTAGAAGATTGATGACATCCTGTCGATGAGAACCTTGAAAAGATAAGCTGCTAAAGTATTCAAGTCATTTATATTATTGAATATTGATACTTATTGATTCAGTTTTATGGCATTCGTGTTAGTTAACTGATGCAATTTTATAATTGTTCGTAACACCTTGCCGATCTTTCTCTTTGGCAAATGTTGAACCTTTTGAATCACGAGATCTACTAAAGATCTTGGACTAATTTTTCAAAATTTAATCGATACATATCAAATGGAATGAATTTATATGCTGTCATTATATTTTTCAAGTGTGTTGTTTTGTTTGTATATAATATAAATTAAACTTTTCATATTTTTTTTATCTAAAAAGGATTCGTCAGTCAGCCCGAAGCTCTGATATCCAGCTCGTGCGGCATCACCATTAATAGCGCTTACTCTCCACTACGTTTGGTAAGTTATCATTGAGTCCAAGATATGTGCCTTGAGTAGACAAAATGACCACCTTCTGCATTTGCAGAGCATTGAGCAATCGAAACGTCATGAAGTAACATGGCTTGAAATCTTTTAATTTTTATTTCATTGCTCAATTTAAAATTTTTTGCTAAATTTTCATTTTATTGTAATTTCATTTCAGATTTTTTTGCTTGATATAATTGTTATTTTCAGCTATTCATTTTGATTTTCAATTTTAATTGTGACAACGGAAGTTCGAATTAATGAAATTCACCATGAAACATTGTCAAACATCTTCAAACAAATTTGAATAATGAATATATCCATTGAAAAATTAAACACATCATGAAAATTATTGAGTTTGAGTTCATTGAGTATGAGTACTGACCCGCATAAGCTAAACCAATTCCCAAAATTGCCCCGATCTGCAAAGTTTCATTTTCGACTGCCACATAATCACCAAGCAAAGCCAGTGCAGGATCGCACTCATTCCTCACCCGACAGTTTACTATACCAAGAGCTAGCAGAGCCCCAGCCTTGATATACTCATCTGTCGAGTACAAGTATTTGTCGATGGGGGTCAATCCCCCGTCGACATCCCACAAGTGGAGGAGTCCTAGAGCCGCTGTGGCGCTCAACATCCCGTGATCCTTGTTGCGATATATCCATTTGTTACCTCCATCGACAGTAAGGAGTTTGTCGCTGCCGAAACCTGCATTTACAAAACCGTTAACGAGGGAGGACGCCAAGTTCTGCCTCGCACTGTCCAGGTGTTCTCCTAAAATTGAAAAGCGGGGTGGTAAAGGTTCAAGCCAGGTCTTAAACACTTCTTGGGGCGATTTGGGTTCCATTATATCCAGCTATAACAAAAGTAAAAGTTAGTAAAAAATTGCCTCTGAAAATTTCAGTATATACAACATAATTGTAGCTTTCAAGAAGTCAAATTTTATTAGTTAACTAAGAAATTAAAATTAGTTTTTGTGTGTATGAATATACTTATTTTAATGTCCCTAATTCAATATAAAAGTGAACTTCTAAATTAAGGAAAACATCTAATTTTTCTTTTCCTTCTTTCAATGCAATGAACATGGTCATGATAAGAAAAATGAAACTACAATCTATACATATAAAATAGAACCAGAAAAAAATGCTTTGTTAGTAGCTACATCCATCAGTTTATTGAAATTCTCAAACGTCTGCCAAGCAAATAAAAACAAAGGAATCCCTCAAGTGTTTGATTGAGTTGTTGATTATTGATGAATGAAATTATGAATCTGCTTCGAGCCAATCAAATTCGATTACGAATGATGCATTACCAAATGCATCTTCCGAAAACGATGAAAGAAACGTGGGTTGGCAGAAAGTTGAAAAGTAAAATGAGAGAAAGAAATTTTGATTGGTAGGAAAATATACTGAAAGAAATTTTAAAGGTGTCCCAAAGAAGGACTCTTTCCATGTTACAAGAATTGATCAGATAACGACATGTGCGGTACTGCCCTACCGTCGATCATATATGTAGATAGAAACATGCCCATCTTATAACAGTCTGGATCTACAAAATGGTGGGACCTTCTGGAGAGCTTGGAATTATCGAAAATTATTGTTGATATAAGGCATCAGTTGTTTTCTATCGATTGTGCAGAAGGACCACATATATCTATTTCTTGTTTCTTGAATAATAATAATAATTTATTTGATTATTTTGATACAATAAGTACATATGACCAGTCAAGAAAAGCATAAATATATAATTAATAACAACAACGTCACAAACTAAAACACATACAAGTAAAAATACAGGCTAGCTCAAGCTAGCCTACTCGTAGCTCGTAGCACTTTTCAATGAGAAAAGATTTGTCCTGTTCACAAATCACATCATCCTATATGAGAATTCCAATTTGATTTTGTAGTAAAATTTCATCGATGCTGACTTGGAAATATTCAGAATTGAGCAATTATGCTCATACCATGATGTGAATTCATAGATAACCCTATTTACTCTGGCCACTACTTCATCTATTGCTTACCCATGATGCATTGTTTGGTAACCTTTGGTGTAGTAATGAATATTACTGGAGTTTTTTCCCAACACCAAATCGTTATTTTTAACACCTCGACACGTGTTTCGATCACCAAGTGATTATCTTCAAAGAGGAAGATTAAAACTTAATCATAATCTTCCTCTTTGAAAATGATCACTTGGTGATCGAAACACGTGTCGAGGTGTTAAAAATAACGATTTGGTGTTGGGAAAAAACTCCAGTAATATTTATTGCTTACCCTGACTGTAACGGTGATGTCATCTACTTACAACGTTATGTAGCTATCTTGTACGTACTCAAACATATCATTATCAAATACAAAAAAACAATAGTCGTCCCAACACTGAACCCTGAGAAACTCTTAGTTTAACATCATACTCCTATACACAATTCCAATATCTCACTTTCATGCAATGCCCTTCCATATAAGAACAACCATCTCAGTAAATTATTAGGGGAAGCAAGTCCTACCAACTTATTACAGAGGAATTCACAACAAAATTATTAACTGAGGTGGAATATATGTTGTTGAGAAAGTGATAGGAAGCTGTATCAATAGATTTTTTTCTAAAGCCACGCTGATTGTTGCATAACAAGTTGTTGATTTCCAAATTATTCAAGAACCTTATTATAAAAATCTAAGGCTCTTCTCCATTTCCGTATATTTCTCCAGAGAAGACATCATTTGTGGAAACTCCTCTCAAAAATAAATTTAATGCTTCACAAAAGACTATTCTAAAAATTACCTCTCTTGCTAAAGTTAGAAAGTAGGTGCTCAAATGACTATTGCTCAAAATATTGCACAATTCTTCATAGTTTTCGCAATCGGGATTTAGGTCCACACTGTGTATGTGACGGGCACAAATGAATGCAAGCTGGTATAAGGTGGATCTGAAAAAAATGTAAAAATGTGAAATGATAGTTCACCGTATTATGAAAATAATCTGATGGAATGAATTATTATGAAATTTTTTTGGTGTCATCGGCATCGACTGCATTGGTCATTAGCCTCGTGTCCTGGGTAGGCAATGTTAATAACTCCCCGAGTCACCTAGGGAGCAGCCATGTAACGTTGCAGAATCATCTCAGCTTCAACCAGATAAATTTTCTTGAGAAAAATATCTGGTCAATTCACCGCTATATATGAAATTATCCCACTGATTGAGAAATCAAAGTGAAATTTGATAATGTATATACTTCATTTGTCTATCCTCGATAGGAAGACTTAACAGATTGTCTCTGGTCTGGATTACTGGCGTGGAAGGTAATGAAGCTGCTGACTCTCTTGCAAAGGAGGGTGCTGCAAGCGACTTCATCGGACCAGAACCTGTCATTGGCATCGCATTTTGGGCTTTGCCAAACAAACATTGAACACCTGGATGGCAAGAAGATTTATGGACTTCTGGCAGAATCTTCCAGGATTGGCTCACTCTAAGACGTTTATCCACCCTTCGAAGCTTGATACCAAACAGTTGTTGGACTACAGTAGGGATGAACTACGATGTCTAACAGGCCTTCTTACTGGTCACTGTCATTTGAATCATCATATGCAGAGACTTGGATTGTCGGAAGACAGTGTGTGTCGCCTCTGTTTGGAAAATGATGAAACAGCAGAGCATATACTTTGTGCCTGCCCCGCTGGGGACCGAATCAGGTTCTTAGAGTTCGGCAGATCCGTACTCTTACCATCTGACCTGAAAGACTACTCACCATACAAACTGATCGGCTTCGTTAAGAAGCTGGGTTTATTTGGTCGAGTGTGAACAGGTGTGAGCTACAATAAACCCTTGCGGGTTGCGGCGGAGGGTCGAATAGACCCACTCACTTTAGACCTAACCTAACCTAACCTATATTCCATGATATAGTTTTTTGATAAGTCATTGACTACAACTAATCTCATACTAAACGAATATAAAGTAATAGGTATGAATAAAATATATGAATATTGAATTTCAAAATAATATAAAAAATGTTGGTTGGTGCACAAACATTATTATTTTATTTTTTGAATTCACTGACCCATTTCTTAATGAAAATGAATAACACTATTCATGATGATAATTACAAATTTTCACAATAGACTTTATTTACTACATAGTAGTTTCCCCAGTTGGACTGGTGTCCAGTCTAAGGTTGTTAAAGCATCAATTATATAAATTTTAATGAGTTTATTTCAAACTGTTATATCTCAGGGAATACTTATTACTCATTCAATCCAATCGAAATAGGCGCCATTTCAATCAGTGCACATTTTCCAATGTAATACAAGTCGATTAATTCCGTCATCATAGAAATTGCGTGCTCGTGATTCGATGAAGTCGACGAAGGCCGTTTCTGCCTGAGAGGTCTGGGGAGTATGGTGGCTGAGGAGATTTTCGACGCTAAACTCGTTTAATTGCCGGACAGTGATTTGTAAAATGTGCGGACGGGCGTTGTTGTGGAGCAGGACTGGACCTCTTTTGCTGACCAGTGCCGGCTAATAAATATTTTTTGAGAAAAATGAAAATTCACTTCATTTTTTTGAACAGACAGCGTATACTGGGACTTTTGACTCTGACTTGACTATTATAAACATAAAGACATAATAATTTACCTATCTTTACAAGTTGAAAAAATTTTCCCAACCATTTTGCTGTCGTTCATCTGAATGGCGGTTATAAGAGATTTAGAGTATTCCCCGAATCTCAAGTACTGCTCACAAATCAATCCCATTATTTTCGATCTCTCAATACTATCTACATATTTTGCGCAAGACATCAAATACATGCACATCCTCTGGTAGGTATTGTTTGCCATATATTCTGGGAGCATGTGCAACAAATCAACTTCCATTAGAAGATCGCAGGCTTGGATTTCAGCGTGATGACTACAATTGAAAATCAAAATATCATGAATGAGAGGCATCAACATGTTGGTGCTCTTTTCGCAGTTAGACGGCCACTGAGAGACGATTTCCTTTTCAAGTTGACGGATGTATTCGTGTCAATTAGTATTTTTAGTTGCGCAATTCTTTCAACAAAAACTTTTTTTACCTGTAACAATGCCACTATACCAACTTTCTTATTTCAAATAGAACACCCTGCATATTATTCAATTCTGCAGCACTTGAGGTCCTACTTGGACTTCCACCATTGCACATTTACATACAAAGAGAAGCTCGACTGGTGACACACAGGCTAATGCAGGGGCAAACCCCAATCAGCCAGTTACACGGTGCAGAATACTTGAAACTGTACAATGAACAGAAGGAAGATCCAATTCCAATAAATAAGTTATGTTCTCAATTAATTCATCATGCTTCGCCATTAATACATTAAAATATGATTTAGACAAGGAGTATCTGATAAATGTGTACTACGCATTTAATCTTTTTTGGCTTACAGAATAAATTTGTATTCTATTCTATTCTAATTAGGAACGCCCGTGGATAACACAGTCCTGCAGTACAACTTTCAAAAAGATTTCAAAATCATTATACCAAGTAGAGAGGACTGGTAAAATCGAAAGAAACTTGGTATACAGATGGCTCAAAAACCCAAGAAGGAGTGGGAGCCAGTATATACGGAGGCAGAGCAAAGACCAGAATCGCACTTAGCCTCGGATATAATGCAACTATGTTCCAGGCAGAAGTAGCGGCCATCGAACACTGTATAGGTGAAATAAACAGGCAGAAGGTCACAAATAAAACCATTGCCATTTTCTCCGGCAGTTAGCTCAGCTCGCTTCAAGTTTTCTCAAGACTGGTGAGAAGCTTTCTGAGCGCACTCAATGAGCTAATTATCCTGTATAGGGTCAATTTAGCTTGAGTACCCGAACATGAAGGTCACAAGGGCAATGAGGAGGCCGATGTTCTAGCCCGTAAAGACGCATCCAAGGATGATCGTCCCAGAACCCTTCTGCGGGGTAGCGAAAGCATGTATAAAGACATCCATAAATTCATGGATGCAAGACGAATCGATAGATTGATGTAAGAAGCTCCCAGGAATGAGGCAGGCGAAATAGTTTATAAAGAAACCATCGTCCAGATTCACGGAAGACCTGCTACCCCACAACCGTAATGTTGTAAGAGTAGTGATGGGTCTACTAACGGGACATGGCTGACTCAGGAAACATGAGCAACATGGGTCTGACAGAAGAAACCAAATGCAGGTTCTGCCAACAAGAGGAAGAAACTGCACTGCATGTGCTCTGTGAATGCGAAGCGATAGCAAGGCTGAGACACACAAGATGCGGGGAAGAGAAACCAGAGGCTGCCAGCTATATGAAGGGGTCAGTGTCAAGGCTAGGGAGTCTCATCAAAGAGATCAAGCTAGACAACAATGAGCTCCAACAACCAAGAAGCACACAATAGATCTGAAAAGGTCGCAGTGAATCAGGCCATGGGCTAGCTCCCCGAGAATCTAATCTAATCTAATATTATTCAATTTAATGATTTTTCAAAACATTTTAGAAATATTTCACGCGCGATGTTCTATAAAAAATTATTTGATTAAAAAAAATTGCAACAACAAACTCATTATTTATTTCTATTTTAGGTCTTGATAATGTGAAAGTGTGCAAAAATAACTTCAGCGCCTCTTCCCAGCAAAACCTAATGGTTGGTTCGTTACCAGGTCATCACTTCGATCATCGGCACATTGAAGGTAAAGGTTCAACATAATTTGCCCACTGACTTTCATGTAGTGATAAAAACGCACCGGCATTCTGCCCTCAATCGTTGTTGGACCCTTTTTTTGCCAACCACATTCTGTTGTTGAGTTTCCAGCGCCGGGCCATTGCCGCATCGTATGAAATTCTCCCATAATTTCCATTGCACATGATGTGTTCTGATTACAGCTGCAGACATTATTTTCATTTCATGATATGAGATTAATGCTGTGTTGTGTGCTGTAGTTATTTATATTTTGTTGTTCGGCTTGATATTCTATATTTAAATAGTTTTTCCAAATCGTGTGATTCTTTTTTCATGCTTGCTGTGCTTCATGAAGTTGGTGGACGCAATTCATAAACTTATAAACACGAATTGTTATGACATTTAAACAGTCGAATCCTCAAAGAAACTATGAATATTCTTGTAGAACCTCTAACAGTTCTCATAAATCGCTGTTTCAGCGAAGAACATTTTCCGAATGTAGGTATTTAAAAACAGCAAGGTGATACCCATCCGTGAAAAAGGAGACCCGAATTCCCCTAATAATTACCCACCTATTTCAATTATACCTTTTTGGGAAAAATGGTTGAAATTATCGTGAAAGAGCGACTAATGCTACTTCTTAATATAAACACAATATTCTACAAATCTACTTGAATATCAATTTGAATTCATTAGAAATAGATCCACCACCGACGCAGTGATTGAAGTCATCCAACGGGTGATTAAAAACGTGGAAAATGGAGACCATACGGTTTTAACATTGTGGGATCTGAGCAAAGCAAAGCGTGTAAACTATCTTTTACTACTAGAGAAACTTTTATGGTATCAAGAGGATCAGCTGCTTTGCCGACGACATCACAATGTAACAATCAAATTCTGATATCTCAAATTTACTTGTAAATTTCATCTTCAAAGTTCGCCTTTTATTACACTTCAGCAGATTCTCTATTGATTCACCTTTATTTTTCCGATTGTTGAAGGTTCAACACCCAAAATACAGTAAACATTTTTTTAATATTTTCATTTTTCTAAATTGTTTTTGTCACATTTTATGGCCATAATAAATGTTAATTTACATTTTGTTCAGTATTTTGTGATATTTTCATTTTGAAGGGGTATTTTCACCTACATTTTTTTATAGGCAAAATGATTAAATACAAGTTACTGATAAATGGAAGATTTTTCTTTGTGAAAAATACTTAGAATTTTTATAGTACTCTGTTTGGGCGAACTTTTGCCTGACAAGGCATAAATACGCTTCACGAAGCCAAAAAGTTAGTCATCGGACAGCAAGCCATGATAGTTAAACTTCTGAAGAAGCTAGCCCCTCGCGTCAGCGAAACGTCAGGAAAAAATTCCAAAAGTCCACGGCTTTCAAACTCGAAAAACAGTGACACTGAAAACCTCAGCCGCGAAAGTCTAAACCATTTTGTCAATATACAGGGTGTTGTATTTGAACTGATCAAGTTGGTATTGTTCAAATATATACCCTGTGAACAAAATATTTGTTGAAAACAAAAGTCGCAACTAAAAATTCCAGTCGACGTGTCCGAACATTTTTTGATACGCCCACATTCATTTATTATCGAATCAATTCCATTTGGATATAAACATTACCTTACCTCTAAGGCAATATTTCAGGCAATCTCGTTGCTTCTTGGCATCTTCTCCGCCAGCAGTCCCCATCGCCAGTAAGGATATGACATCTGCAAGACTGCTCTTGTTTTGCCCCTTTGCCATTTTTTTGTGGGTGTATTTCAAAGTGTCATAAAAAGGAGCTAAATATTTTAGTGGCTTCGGGACAGATGTCATTGAAGTAGTCGAAGTACGAATCAAATACTTCATCATTTCCAAGGCTGGGGCAATTAGTGTTGGATCAGTTCCCTTCCAAAATAATGAATTATGAGTACATATTTGGTTACAGAATTTATCAAAAACTGAAGGAAGTATCTCTTTATATATTACTTGACAAGTCAATTAGAAAGGTTCAAATATTTCTCTATTATGGATATATTTTAGAAAAGAAATAGTTCATAGGTAAAAGCATCAGCCTTCACCTTCAAAAAAACGTTTTGAACTCTTATCAATATTATGCATACAGATTACACAAGATCACATGGTTATCCACTGGGTACACAATTCATGTTCAAAATATATTCAATGGACGTCCGGAGGCTACCAATCTGAATAGGTTGATAGGATATCCATTATAGGACATCCACCAAAGGATATCCATTCCAAGTCCACTGTGGGATATCTTATGTACCTCCATGAATATTGTAAACTGAATTGGATAGCTCTGTTACGCCAGCTACGCAAAGTACGGAAAACGCATTTAGAAAATGCCAAAATTAGGTACTTTTTAGGAGCTTTTTAGGTACCGAAGTTAAAAATTAGGTGCTCTGTAACTTACACCGCAACTCAATACTCAAAGTTGCGTTGCTAGTATTATGTGATGCTAACAACGCAATGAAAATAATAATAAAATAATGAATGTTAAAGAAACACTTTTAGGTTCTTATTAAGTGCTAAACGGTGACGATCGTAAAATTTTCTAATAAATAAACGAAAGCTTCCAATTTCGCTAAACAACAGATCTAAAAATCTCGAAAACGAAGACGAATGCTCAATTAGGTGTAAACTAAGTGTGGTAATAAAATGCTAAATAGGTGCTTGCAAGAAATTAAGATGAAAACGACCGTGAATAAGCGGAAAAAAATTCGAGATACCTCTGATTGGAGAAAAAATTAACAATATGCAATAACGTTTCGAAATGCTCGTAAACTAATACATAGACAATCAAAATGAAGTGCTAATTAAGTGCTCACTAGACATGGTAAACCTAGATTCTATAATGCCTATGACTGATATACCCATGACTGATATACTGAGTTTTTATAGTACGTTTCTCAATAAATAAGAGCAAGAGGATAAAGTGCTAATTAGATGCTCATTAGATATTTATAGTAAACCTAGATTCCATAATTGCTATGGGGCTCATGGACCTGAAAACCATCATGACTGATATACTGAGTTTTTATGGCATTTTCTCACTATCATGAGGGCATTAGAATAAAGTGCTGATTAGGTGCTCACTGGATATTCATAGTTAAACTAGATTTCCTGATAGCTAAAGGGCTTATGGACCCGATAACCACCACGACTGATGTACTGAGTTTTTATGGTATTTTCTCACTATCATGAGGGCATTAGAATAAAGTGCTAATAAAGTTCTCACTAGATATTTATAGAAAACCTAGATTCCATGATGGCTATGGGGCTCATGGACCTGAAAACCACTATGACTGACGTATATGGTATTTTCTCATTATCATGATGGCATAAGAATAAAGTGCTGATTAGGTGCTTTAGATATTTATAAAAACTGAGTACATCAGTCATGGCGGTTCTCAGGTCTATGTGCCCCATAGCCTTTATGTAATCTAGGTTTTCTATAAATATCTAGTGAGCACTTGATTAGCACTTTAATCTAATGCCCTCATGATAGTGAGAAAATACCACGACAACTCAGTACATCAGTCATGGTGGTTATGGGGTCCATAAGCCCTATAGCTATCATGAAATCTAGGTTAACTATGAATATCCAGTTAGCACCTAATTAGCACTTTATTCTAATGTCCTCATAATAGTTAGAAAATACCATAAAAACTCAGTACATCAGTCATGGTGGTTTTCAGGTCCATGAGCCCCATAGGCATTATAAAATCTAGGTTTACCATGAATATCTAGTGAGCACTTAATTAGCACTTCTATTTGTCTATGTATTAGTTTACGAGCATTTCAAGACTTTATTGCATATTGTTAATTTTTTCTCAAATCAGGTATCTCGAATTTTTTTGCGCTTACTCACGGTCGTTTTAATCTTAATTTCTTGCAAGCACCTAATTAGCACTTTATTACCACACTTTAGTTTATACCTAATTGAGCATTCGTCCTCGTTTTCGAGATACCTGATTCTTAGATCTGTTGTTTAGCGAAATTGGAAGCTTTTGTTTATTTATTAGAAAATTTTACATTCATTATTTTATGATTATTTTCATTGTGTTGCTAGCATCACATAATGCTAACAACGCAACTTTGAGTATTGAGTTGCGGTGTAAGTCATAGAGCACCTAATTTTTGACTTCGGTACCTGAAAAGTACCTAATTTTGGCATTTTCTAAATGCGATTTCCGTACATTGCGTTGCTGGCGTAACAGAGCTTTGTGTGGGCACTCATTCAATAGATGACTTTTATCAAAAGTAATATTATTTTTCTATGAACTGGAACAACTTTTGAATAAAATACCTCATACGCCTACCTTATATTAACGAGAGATTTCAACAATGAGAATCCAATAAATACCCAACACCCTATCAATTTTTTGTATTTACCAAAACTGCTCAGCAACCATTATGGTAACTTGAATATATCATTACTTGTACAGCACCACACGTTTTTCAGGTTCATCCAATCACGAGATCATTTTAGATTTGGTACATACAATATGGCCTAAATTCAGTTATGCAGAATTTTTCCACCTTCACTTAAAAAAAATCATTCTCAAGAAACAACATTAAGGAAATAAAAGTGATCATTTTAGAAATACTTATTTTTGAAATTTCATTGGAAATGCTCTGATTGAATTTAACAAAATTGATAAGTCGTTTGATAAAAAAACAATATTTATGAAACATTCCTTGTGCTAAGGAATATAAGAATCATTATTGATTCTCATATTCCTTAGGTCTAAAGAAAGATCACTGTTTATCACCATACTGTGGTACAGTAAAAATACTAATAATGAGTCTGAATGAAAAAATCATGAATAACAAATATCTCAAAAATTAATGTTACTGTTACTTAAATAAATTTCCTCCATATCGACAACAATCTCGTGTTCAATAATTATGTGGGATTATTAAAGATTACACTGGCTTCAAGTTAACAGAGTGGACTCAAAAAAGGTTCTCTTAGTTTTTGAGAAAGAAAGCTTTTTGGACGGAAGAAAGCATCAAGTTTAAAATAAACTCTTCACAAACATGTGTAGATCATGCATAGAAGTTACTTTCAAATACAAACTGGAAGAAAAAACCCTCTTGAAAAAACAACTTTCATATGAAGTAGAAAGCCAGAAAGTTTTTTTTCAAATGCATATTTCAATTCTTTTGAAAATGAAAAACAAAATATCAAATGAGGCAACACACTCAAGCACAGCCTCTTTATGTTATTTAGCAGACCGTTATCAGGCTCAATGATTTTGCTAGTTGGTAGGTACATTCATTTGATTCAAAAGTGTTTTTATGCAAATGAAAGGAAAAGTATCTGCTTTAATAACTACTTTTATTTCAAACAATCTCAAGTTGAATTATTTTTATCATCCAAGTGTCAAATATTTTGAACTGTCTGTGTGTCAAAAATTTGAAAAGCAATAATGTTCAAATAATGACAGATGAAACCATTCATTTTGACCTGAAACTCTTGAGTGAATTTTCTCAAATAATTTTCTGTCAGTACACTTTCACTATTGTATATATTGTTGTATAGTCTAAGGATATTTTCCATGCAAAATTAATATTTTGTTTTGTATCAAAAGAAACTTTGAAGGATTTATGCAGAAACCAGAAAAAACTGAGAACTCAATTCCTAAGAAAATTATAATATTCCAAAGGAGAATTACTTTTTCATACCAGTTCTTCGTTGATTTGTATACTTATTTTCAAAATCTTAAACATATTTCCCTAATCACTAACATATTTTTTTTAGGTTTCTCTAACATTGATGGAGTCGAAACAATAAAAGTTTTTTCCAAATAAATATTTAGTATACGTACAGTAATTTTATCCACCAATATTTTCAGCTCCACTTGAAGTTCTTTATCTTCATCAGACTGTTGAAAAATAATTATCATAAAAAAGGTTTGTGAATAAATAACAATTATTTACCTCTTCCTCTTTCACAGGAATAGCTTTCGGGGTTGCTGCTTGCGAACTCATTATAAAACGTTTTTCCAAGCAAGGAAAATATTCACTCAAATACCGACTTGTGCCCAAAACTTCAGAATGACGATGCAGTAATGAGTATTCCGCAAATTTCGAAGAATTACTTTTGGAAGTTTGAATGAAGTATGAATCAAAATAAATCTGGATTTTTCTTCATTTCATCATTTTTTGAATAGACAGTGAAGAACTAAATTATAAAATTGAAATATTGAAATGAGTGATAAATGCCAATTATTCTTTTTGAAATTTTGACAAAGGCCTACCAACCGTTTGTAACTATGATGTCTACCAAGTAGTTAGAATGAATTCGGCTGTCAAAGTATAACTCAAGTGCAGCTTTGAATTTTAATTGAAGCGCCTTATTTTCCGGTAAAAATATGCTTATGGGAGAGAAAGTACAATAGTGAAATAATTCTCTAGAGCACTGGAGCTGTTCTTTTTTCCGTAACTGGATTAATCATGAAATGGATTTTTTGAATGATTTACAAGTTTCATTTATTTGTAGCAATTGTATATCTAGTAAATTTGATATCGCAAATTATATAATCAAACTCAATATCTGTGTTTTCACCGATTAATTTGATGGATTCATTCATCTTGTATCAGAATTTTCATTTTCATAATAATTTTAAGAACTCTTTTTTTCATTCACTATGATCATATGGCGTATCGGTAAGACATAAACTTTCCATATTGAATTACTTGGTTCGTTTCGATTTATGTCATCGATGTTTTAATATATTTCATTTAATAATAATGAACGTCTTTATTGTTATCTGAATACAACTAAGTTATATAAAAAATACAAAAGTTCTAAAAAATCGTGCGTTCTACTTCAAAGACGATCCCCTTTCTCCAAAATTGTGGATGAAAATGGGAGATCTTATTTTTGGTTGCGTACTAGAAGTGGAATGAATCTGGAATGATAAGTTGACATCTGTGGTATCATTTGTCATCACAAAACACGTTAGTTTTCACATGAAGTGATCGGTGTTTTTTTTTCTACAATAGAATTCATGTTTTTTTTTAATTGCAAAACATATTTTCACTACTGTTTGAGAATGACACTTTAAAAAAAGCATTATGTCAAGGGGATTTGCGTTGAACTCTTCTTTGATGGGTTGGTCTTTGAGGAACGGAGCGTGATTTTATGAAACCGTTCCGTCGCGGCACAGAATAGTAAATTCTGTGGTCGCTATGGATCTTTTTGACATTTATGTGTACATCCAATTATATAAAAATACGGAAACTTTTTTTTCATTAGGATGTTATTTTGTGATAATGNTTCCATACTTATGTTCTGTTGAACTATATTTTTTGAAAAATATTCCACCTGAAGTTCTTGTAATATTTCTTGTTGATGTAGGGCCTAAAGTAGTTTTCTTCATTCCCACAAAAATTATATGCTCATAAAAATACTGGTGTATATGAAGATAATTACTACTAACGGCAGAATGAGTATTCTTCATAGCTCATTTTTTTAACAATCAATTCAACCTATTGAATGATAAATGAATCGCCACATGCCAAGAATGGTACAATAGCAGTTGTATTTTCGCTGTTGAATAATAAAAAACCTTTTATATTTTTCAACATATTTACTCAGTTTCGAATTGAGAACATCAATGACGAAGTGCACATATTGAATATCAATAATATTTTCGATTTTTATTCATCATATATTTAAAAAGAAAATATAAAAGTCTAGGTTACTATTTTTCTACAAAAGTAGCATGTGCTTAGCTGATTCCTAATGAATCACTTTATTTCTAATCTAAAGTAATTAAACATTAATAAAAATTAAAATCTCATGTAAAAACAACAAAATAATAAACACATATTGAGTACTTAGGTATTAGAGTGTAGTAAATACTATAAAATAATTTACTTGCATGAATCAATCAAGCCAGATAAAGGAAAGCTGTTATACTTTTTATTTTGCTTGTATGATTTATAGTCCTTCCAGACCCTAGAGTTTTTTGCTGGCTCAACTTTGCCATCCACAGATTAAATAATTATTTTCACAGATAAAAGGCCTTTTTCCATTTTGATTATTTAAGATTCTCTCCGCTGCTTGAATGATTCTCTATTGATTAATATATTTGGCAAATCATATTGTTGTACTTTATTCTATTCATTCACATTCATGCCTGATTTGGAGTAAAAATACCAATCAATTATTCACAAAGATTATTTCACGATGAAAATATAATTTTATTTTATGAATTTTTCAGCTGAACTCTTTGGTTTTTTTGTACTCAATAGATAGAATAATACCGAAATGTGACTTTTTCATCTACTCCAAAACTGGCTCTAAAAATTGTAACTGCTTGTATGAGACAAACAATAGATTATTTAAATTACATAAAATAAGAAAGTTGTTAAAACAAGGGTTATATAACTAACATATGTTTTCGGTGCAGTATTTCCTTTGCAGAAATAATCGATATTGCAGTTTCTTACAATTTCCTGATATTTCTGCTGGACAGTGGTCCAGCTGCAAAGACCAACTGAACATTCGGGGAATTCCACAGGTTTTTCATTCAAGAAGAACATTACTTTGTATTTTTCGTTACCTCTGCATCTGTAAACAAAGGAAACTATTTAGAAAATACTTATATAAGTTGAATTTGTATTGTAATACTTTTGAGAAAAAAACAAATTCCTGTACAATTATGTTTTCTTAAGTTTTGTCAATAAATGACAGTCAGTACAACAAATTGAATGAGATTCACTTCCAGTTACAAATAAATCGATATTAAGTAAAATACACAATAGGCCATCCATTGCTATATTCAACACTCCACTGGTCGTTAATGATTCACCCATGTGATTATTTCAATATGGCGATTGGCTTAAAGTCACATTCTTAGATAGACTCTTATTGGATTTCGATGGTTCTAGATCTTATTTTCATGACCTGATTTATTCTAGAAACTTCCAGTGCCTTATCTTGAAGGTACTGTTACTTCAATGAATATATCTTTCCACCATCTGGAGAGATCAAGAAGGAATTTCCGAAACGAGATGATATGTCCACTTGCCTAAGAAAATATATAGGTCACTTTTACGCCAGATTTGCTGACATCACCCAGTGTTTCTGGTTGCTAACCCCGAAAAAACAAACATCTAATTCGTTCTAAGTTGGTTTGTTTTGTCCACGATTGGGCTTCCATCTCTCTATAAGATGAGGTAACCGTGAGAACTAAAACCTACATTGGATCTGTTTTACTTGATGAATGAATAAGGTTCATTCCATGGCCTCCACAATTTAGGACTCGAACCTTTTTCGCCATTGGGATTAGTAAAGCTTTGAAATAGGTGTACTACTTGGAAGATAATGTTGAAGACTTTGACAGGAGTATGGGGCATGATAATTTTTGGGAAAGTTTTTGGTACAAAACTTCATCCAACCCCAGGTAGACCTGGGGTTGGATGATCATTCAATGATGAAACTAGAGCATTTGCAAGTGAATCGTTGGAAAAATTTGAGATCAAACATTAAAAGAAGAAAAAATCCAGGAGAGAAGTTTAATAAACAACTGTGACATCGAATTCTGAGGACTATATCCAAGATGCATGGAAACCGTAGTGATTTTACTGCTTCGCTTTTATTTTTTATTTTGTCAAAAACTCCCGACGCGAGAAATGGGATTGTCCCAATTTAGCACACATGTTGACAGATGGTGCATGAATCAAAATCTGTCACGGGTATTTTTTTCAGATCTTAAATTTATATACCATAATGTAAAAAATACTTCACCTAATATCAATTTATTCCCAAATGAACATTGAAAATTAAAGTGTCAACATGACATTGTCCAATAATCCCACTTGAGGTGTATTCAGCACCTCTATAAGTGTAATGCTGAAATTTATTAGATCTCTTTTTCATTTCTTTATCAAGCGAGCCGTAGGTCTTGAGTTTTCGACAAAATATTTCACATGGCGAAGGGGTTCAAGTGACTTCATCAGTAAATGACTATACCTTGACTATACCTATGAATCATGGATGACTTGTGGAAAAGCCAGAAAAAAGATATTGATCTGGTTTGGAGATAATTAAATGGGAGATAATTAAATTGGAAATTGGAGATAATTAAATGGGGTTCAACCTGTCTGCTAGCAATTTTCCAAGTACGGTGCAGTTGTAAAACGTTTCTGTGCTTAGGAGATTCTTCATGTCTACACGATGGTCTATTGTATCCCAAGTAGGTTTCAAATGAGACAACGGTAGAGCAAAACAGATCTTAGCGAGAGCATAAATTAGATTCTATAGTCCAACTCCCAGTCACTGAACCGGTTGACAGTTTGGTAGCAAAAAAGAAACAATGGTTTAAGGGATGCGACCAGAGGAGTGATTCAAGAAAAAGCTGTAATAAAATGGAACAGAGAACATAAAAATGCAAAATAACTATTGTTGATTGGTAGTCAAAACGATTTTGAAACAATCCCGTCCTAAGTTTAGACTTACTCATAAAGAACAGCTGCCAAATTAGCGGCGAAGGGATCTAACATGGATACTCTCCAGTTTCTTCTACTTTGTTGATAATAGTTGTCTGCTGTAGGAGGCGTGAAATCCTTGGCTATTCCCAATGATACCAAAACCGTCTGGAACGTGGTGGCACGACTAAATAAAAATGTTCCCTTATTTCCGTCCGGATTACCTGGAATATAGTTTCGAAATAAAGTTGAATTTTCAATGTCTACCATTTGGTAGCGGTGGCCAAGTTAACTATTCAAATTTAATCTCACCGTTAACAGTCTTCTCGAATCTTTCATACAAGTCTTTAACGGGAGCACAACCTATTCTTTTGCTATTTTGATTTCCATATCCTGCTTTGTAATAATATTCCAAATCTTCTGCATACTCCAACAACTTTAGTTGATCTTTATTGAAGGCAATGCACCATGGCGAACGTCTTTGAATATTCCTAAAAAAATCTTGGTAGTGATTTTTGTTATTATACATTTATTAATTTTGAGAAATAATTCATCTTTAACGAACACAACGTCACATATAAAAATCGAATACAGAAGAACGCAGAAAGCATGATGTCTTTTTGATTTATGCTAAGTTACCTACCAACCAATAAAATTTGAAATATTATTTTATTGTTCATCTACATCCGGAAGTAATGTAAATTAACATTCCAGTCAAATTTCAAACTCAAATCAATTGATTTGAAATCAAATAGTCACCAGTTTATTACATATAAAATGTGTTAATATAATTGTCATCAAACAACAAAATAAATTAAATAACTCCCTCAGAGGAAGTAAAATGCACATAGGGATATAGATGCCTGTATTCTTTTTTCCCTTCTCAAGATGGTCGATGAATATTACACCACGCACATCCCAAAATTCCGATGCCCTAACCTTTCCAGCCGATTGTTGTGCTTTCGGGGGCTTTGGACGAGGTTCACCAGTTGCTTTTCACTCAGATGACGATCGTTTTGATTCCGGAGTGGAGTGATGAATCCATGTTTCATCCATTGTCACATATCGACGCAAAAATTCCGTTTAAACATGGCCAAACGCTGCTTAGAATCATTAAGACGTTCTTGTTTTTGGTCAACAGTGAGCTCGCGCGGCTCCCACTTTGAACAGAGCTTTCTCATAGTCAAATGCTCATGCAATATAAAGCCAACAAGTTCTTTTGATATCTTTACAATGTCAGCTAACTCCTGCAACTTCACTTTTCGATCGTTCAAAGCGATTTTGTGAATTTTTTTATGTTTCCTGGTGTTACTGCCTCTTTTGGACGTTCACTGCTTTCTACATCATCGGTGTCTCTACGACCACTTTTAAGTCAGCAAACCAACGTTTGATTAATGTTTTTGATGGAACGGAGTCCTTGTAACACTTTTCGAACCGTTGCTTCGTTTGAATGGTATTTTTCCCATCGAAAAGCAGTGTAAAATGAAAACACGAAATTGTTGTTGAATCATTGTCTCCATTAATATGAAGAAGAAATAGAAGAGGACCCAAAATGGTTTCCTGAGATATGTCTACATGAATATTCAATTTAGAATTTTTTATAATTATTTTCTATTCCTTCACAGGTTCAAGAAACTGTGATGACGCAATTGAAGTTTCTTTCATGAAATCAGTTGGAAAGTTTCATGTTTGATCCAACATTGATGAAAACTTCATTGAATTTGATATCTTTTTCTTTATTGTTCACCAGATGTTCACCATTTTCATTTTCCATAATTTCAATATAACGAATAGTAGACTGAAAAACAGGTGGGTATATCTTAATCCAATAGTTATTATTTCTTTTGAAGCCATTCCTATTTGATTTTTGTTCATGTACATTCTCTTTCGAAAATTATTGTTTTTCTAATTTCTCAATTATTTTGGCTAATGTAAAGATTAGTAAAATGGTTGAAATTTAGCTGAATTTGCTAGTGCACAATTTGCTAGTGCACACTCAGAAAGACTTAAAACTGTTATGAAGATGTCAATACCGGAAACTTTTTTAATGTCTGATATCCTACTTCAGTTCGCTAAAATTGGTATTTTGTAATGAAATGTAAATGAAAGTATGTTGGATTCAAATGCGTAATTTGAATGTAAACTTTTCAATTATTTATGGGAATTCACTCGATATAAAATGAATGCTACTGATGGACTATATTAATTTTCTGTTGTACTCATGAAAACACTGATGTCCACCAACTAGATTTCTAGAAAGAACCGTTACATTATATAAGTTCAAGAGGGCAGTTCAGAAAGTGAATCGAGCGGCTAAATAAGAAATTCAAATAGGGGAAATTAATTAAGCGTTACTTGCTAAGTGTTGAAAATAAATTAGTTTGTGATTAGTGAAATATTGTTGGAAATGAATTTGTTTAAGACAGTTAATTCATTAATTTGTTACAGTATTAATTATGGACCATTTGCAGAAGACAGTTCAGTCAAGGCAGAAGCAGGAAGAGAAGTGAACCAGTGAAACAGTAACCCTATTGTGAATTGGTATCGAAGTACCAACGTTTCATTTTTTTTTTTACAACAATAGCCGAATGAAGTCGTTAATTTGTTCAGTGTGTTATATATTCAGAAAATCCTTTGATGAAGAGAATTTATAATTTAAAAAAATAATGACACACGATTAACTCACCATGCTTTTTCGTAAGCACAAGCATCATAAATATCCTCAATGTTAGAAGCATTCAGCAAGTATCGGTGATAGCCTACTTCAGTTCGCTAAAATGCGTAATTTGAATATAAACTTTTTAATTATTTATGGAAATTCACTCGATATAAAATGAATGCTACTGATGGACTATATTCATTTTCTCATGTACTCATGAAAACACTGATGTCCATCGATTAGATTTCTAGAAAGAACCGTTACATTATATAAGTTCAAGAGGGCAGTTCAGAAAGTGAATCGAGCGGCTAAATAAGAAATTCAAATAGGGGAAATTAATTAAGCGTTACTTGCTAAGTGTTGAAAATAAATTAGTTTGTGATTAGTGAAATATTGTTGGAAATGAATTTGTTTAAGACAGTTAATTCATTAATTTGTTACAGTATTAATTACGAACCATTTGCAGAAGACAGTTCAGTCAAGGCAGAAGCAGGAAGAGAAGTGAACCAGTGAAACAGTAACCCTATTGTGAATTGGTATCGAAGTACCAACGTTTCATTTTTTTTTTTACAACAATAGCCGAATGAAGTCGTTAATTTGTTCAGTGTTTTATAGATTCAGAAAATCCTTTGATGAAGAGAATTTAGAATTTAAAAAAATAATGACACACGATTAACTCACCATGCTTTTTCGTAAGCACAAGCATCATAAATATCCTCAATGTTAGAAGCATTCAGCAAGTATCGGAAACCAAGCCTCTGAAATACATCTCTCACCATTTTCAAATATTCTGGATTTTCTTTGAACCGCTCCACCTCAGATTTCATTGCAGGATTGTTATTTTCGCCCTCAGACCAATTTGGACAGTTTTCTTCAGGCTTCGAAAAATGTAATAATCAATAACTGTCAGTGGTATCATTTAAAGCCATCCATTAATCTAAAATTTCAATACTTACTTTGGTTAAGTTATCAGAATTCACTGTATTCGCGTGGACTCTGTAATAGTCACTTCCAAAGAGTCCCTCGATATATGCTTGAAAACTGTCGTGGCTTCTGTCATCTGTAGAGTACTGGAACTACAAATAAAAAAATATTTACCTATGAGTATTGATTATAAACTTGCAAAATCGTTACTATAGAAAAAATGTAGATGTATCGAGAAGTAGCCAATATTTTTAACATATCCTCTCATAAAACCATATACTTCAGTCCAGTGGTGGAGTGGAGTGGGTTATGAAAATATGGAAATGTTATTGTTATTTTCTAGGAGATATTTTGAATTTTGCAATTGAAATAATACTTGGAATATAGTAACAAGATTGAGAAGTTTTCCCATCTTGACATTAACATGATCTATAAGGATTTGTAAAACTAAATAGGTACCAATTTTCAATATATATTTTCTTGATATACGATACATTCTTTTTTTGTCTGTCAATATGTCTTGGCACAATCATGTCGCTGGAATTGCAAAGGTTGCTTCTCAAAAACTTGAAACTCTGTAACGAACCAAAAAACTTTACCCACCTCAGCAATTTTTGATGCTTTGTAAAGCTCAGATCAGACCTTCTTTGGAGTATTGTTCTCATTGTTGGATGGGAATTTGTCTCTCTTCCATAGATACTTTCATGGCAAGTATTCAAGTGATTTGGTGCATTTTATTCCACCAAGAGCGGTAAATATCAGAATTACGCGACGGACTGTGGCTGCTCATTATTTCGACGTTCAATTCAGTATACCTCGAACTTCACTGTTTAAAAACTCTTTCATTTGGAGAACTGCGTTTATGTGGAATAAGCTTTCTGGGAACATTTTTCCAAATGAAATTAATCTCCAGCGATTCAAATCTAATGTGAATCGCTACTTTCGCACAGGCACCGCCCTTACAGCACCTTAAGAATTTTCCTGTAGTGCTTGTGCTTATATCCAAAAAGGTTAAAATATACAAGATATTCTATTTGAAATACCGGCAGGATGAAAGTGTATTTGAAGCACACGTATTACTGTATTTAACCTAGTTAGTTAACCCTGTAAATGGTTTTTGTCTGCTGGGTAATAACAATAAAAATAAATATCATATGTAAACTTACGTAATACGATCTTTCGTCATAATTTTGTAACACCTCCGAATACTGTGTCTTGTATCTTCTTGCCAACAACTTCATATCTTCTGCACCTTGACTAGTAAGACCATTAGCATAATTATCGGTTATGCTATCGTTAAATCGCCAACTAGAAATTCAGACAGTTAAGTCTCAACTTTTCTATTCATCATTCAATAGAAAAGATATCTCATTTTTTATAAAAAAAATTCCATATTGTATTGCAACATTTTTGTGAAATATATAATATCGGATAAGTATTTCAGTTACTGAATTCAGAACTGAAGGCTCTAAAAGGGCGTTCAGGAAGGTTTAGGTATTGGCAAAGAAAGTAGTAGATTTGAAGAAGACCAAATGACCATTGAATTCATTTCAACCGTATGAGTCACAATAATGGTAGCACCAGGACCAGAATTAATATAAAAATTGTGTGAATACCTACTCAGAACAAGTTAGGCCCTGGGATACATATCAAAAATACGGAGTATGGCACTTTCGTCCCAGAACCTGGGAAAGTTGGACGACACTTGGTGAATGCCTTGAGACTAGTCTCATGTCATTTACATTAAAAAAATATAAAAAGAATTCGACAGGGATATTAGGAACATGACACTGTCTGCCAGACCACGCAATATATGTGTAGGTCGTATATGTTAACAAAATTCTTGGCTATGCAGATGACTTAGCCTTCCTAGTATAGGGCTAAGATGACAATATAGTAACACACTCTGGATATTATAGCAAGATAGACCGTGGAAGAAAGGTGATAGTATTCACCAAGAGGACTAAGATGAATCAACCAGGACTACTACAACTCAGATGTGAATATGTACAACTGTAAGGGGAGGTTAAATATTTAGAGGTGATACTATGATACATCCCATATTGACAGATCAAGCATTAGGTACGTAATCTTGTAGAGACAATTATCAGATCCCTCAACACTAAAGAAATTGCAGTGGCCGTTTTCTTGATATTGAAGAAGCATTTGAAAATGCATTATATAAATCTAAGGGATCAGCCTAGGCTGAAAAAGGCATTGCAGTGACCGTTTTCTTGATATCGAAGAAGCATTTCAAAATGCATTATATAAATCTGAGGGATCAGCCTTGGCTGAAACGACATAGCATAGAAAAGACCATAACCAGCAGGATCTAGGCCATATTCAGAACTGATAGTCTGCTTGATGTCCTTGTATGGAAAGTTTCTCTACCTTTTTTATATTATTCGAAATGGAGGTGGTACAGGCAAAAAATGAAATTCGAAAATTCTACTTTTTGGCGAAATTCTACTTTTTGGTGGTTGAAAACAACCACTGATATTCTCGATCTGGAAAAAGATTATCCTTGTTCTCCAAAATAGGAAAAGTTTTTCAATTTAGGCGATCTTGTAGGTTTTACAATAAAAATAGTGAAATCGTCAAAATAAACTGGCTGTATAATGATAATATTCATTCCACCTGGGAAGTGGAAGTTTAGTTCATTACCTATTTTCTTATATTATGATAGTTCAATCCTACTCACTTTCTGATCAAATCAAAATCATTCGTACACAATCTTCCCCTGTCTGGATAAGATTTCCTTTCCAAATAATTTCTCAACATTTCTTCATGGAGCTTATTCAAATTTCTCAGTTTTCTCAGTTTTTCAATACTGGGATACTTCGTTCCATGCCGAATTATGCTCCAGAACTGTACTGGAGAACATTCTGAAAATTAAAAATATTATCGAGACATAGTTCATCCGTATCATTCGTTTATACAGGGTGTTATCTATATAACCAGTATATTGTGTGAATTCTTTCACTTAACTTCTTAGTCATTATTAGTCATTATTACTCAATTTATTTCCAAGGCATTAGATAACAATGGCCAAGTTGATGTTATATACAGCATTTGATAAAATTTATCATGGTATCTTGCTCAATAAACTGATGAGTTTTGGTTTTTCGAATACTGCCTGTTAGCTGATGCAATCCTATCTGACATGTAGAAAACAATTCGACTCCTATAACGGTTATAAATCTAGAACATATATAACTCCTTATGGTGTGCCTCAGGGCTCCAACCTAGGTCCTTTCTTGTTTTTATTGTTTATTAATGACTTGTGAGCGGTTATGCTTCGCGGATGACTTGAAATTATTTTCTATAATTAAGGAAGTAGGTGATTGTGTAAATCTTCAATCTCAATTAGAATTTCCTGTTGCTTGGTGTAGCAATAATAAATGGAAACTCAACGTGGAGAAATGTATAAAGTAGTGAGTTATAGTCGAAAAAAAGAGGTTTATAAATTCCCGTATGTAATACAGGATTCAGATCTGCTGAGATGTAATGAGATCAAAGACCTAGGGGTAATATTCGATCATAAATTAACATTTGGTAGACATATTTCACAAATAGTTTCAGAATCTCTCAGAGCTCATGGTTTCATTCTTAGAAATTGCAGAAACTTTCATAATATTAAAGCCATGAAGCTGTTGTATTTCACCTACGTACGTTCGAAGATAGAATATGCAAGTATCGTCTGGAGTCCATTCTATGAGATTCATAACATATCCATTGAAAGAGTTCAAAGAAAGTTTTGTAAATTTCTAATTTTCAGAATAGATGGTTCTTACCCTGAGAGAGGTATTAGTAATGATGTCATATATGAACGTTTGGAACTTTTTAGTTTAGAGCATCGCAGAAAATGTGCGTCGTTCATATTTTTATTCAAGTTAGTGAATGAGGGAGTTGACTGTCCTAAAATTCTTGAACAAATTAACTTCAATGTACCACAGCCAGCTTCACGATTCAATCCATTTTTAGACCTCTCTTATGGTCAAGTATTGTGAATAAAATTTTATATTGTCCTGTAAATAGGTAACTGTTGGACAATAAAGCTATTATTATTATTAATGAATCAAAATATCGAGGCAGACTAAAATCTAGATGAAATACCAATTATTCAGTATGAAATTTGAACAACTCCTATCTACCGCCAAGCAGAACTATGAACTTTTTAAAAATCAAATGGAATCAAATGTTATGAAGAACAGATATCAAATTTCTCTAAGAAAATGAATGTAGCGGAAGTGGACATTATAACAATGTCAAGACACATAATTCTGCTGGCTGTGTCAGTTAATTTGCAAGGTGTCGAATTAGAAACCAATAATTGTCTTGGCAATTTGCCACGGGCATGCCTAAAGACATACGATTTATCATATTTATATTAACTTTTTATTCTGCAATATAACTAGACATGGCAACACTGAACATGGTTCTCTTCTTATGCGATTTCTTCTTCATCTACAATGAATTGATTCACAATATTCTGTAGTCTAATTTCATTACGGCTTCCTATCGACCTTCTTTGGGTATATTCACCTCTAAAGTCAGCAGCTTGTTGCTGCTAACTTTTCATCAATTATGTCCTAACAGTTATTCTTGCGCGCACAAGCACGAATGCCAGTGATTCAATTGTCTTCAACTGTCAAAACCTAACAAACCGAATGTCGGTCAAATTTGTTTAATCTTCAATTCGCTTCGTTTTTATGTAAAAATTATATGCAGTCATCTTTGTTCGATACTTTATGAGGCTTCTCGAATCGTGTCTCTATACGGTCGAGCAATTTCTACAAATAAATAAGTCGTGTGTTTGTTATATTTTCTCTGAATAAACAACCACTGCAACTCAAGCAAAATAACATCATAGGTGCTTCTTGTAGGTTAAATAAATATCTATTCATCTATTTGAATTGAAGGAGTAAATAATAAAATGGTTTTCCATACTATTTCTACCCTATAATACTTAGGTACTTACATAAATGGAAATCGATATTTCCATCAACTTTAAAAACATTTCAAATACGGTTCTCTTACCTCGCACTATGTGTTGGGAACTCGAATGCCTGTTGGGCAAACTGTCATATACCGTTTTCGTACCGAAGAATGTATAAGGTTCTTCGTCGGTCACATAACAATAATCTTCACAGCAGTCCTCTTGTCTGTTGCTATCAAACGGATAGTTGTTATTCTGGCCTGAAGTACTTGCAAGAAATATAAAGACCAAAACTATAGAAGAAATGCCCATGGTTCTATTCTGGAAATAAGAGAAAATTTATTGAATTGATTTTTATATTGCTTTGATCAAGTTTTTAGTGGCAACTGATTGAATCATGACCATGAATATTTCATTTCGAAAATTTTACTACAAAAAAATATCAATTGAGGATTCAAAATGTTTGGGAAGGTATGTTGGGAGGGCACGGCAGCATCATCAACCAATGGCCACTCCCCACAACGTAATTGGTCATTGGACCCAACAACCATGTGGTCTAAGCAGACGCAATGAGCTAAAAATGACAGCCTTCTACAATTATCCGGTCAAGATTTTTGAGTACGGACATCCATCAAGATCTTGAGATTCAAGAGTGGAGAGGACATCATTCCACCAAGGATTGCTATAATTAGAACAACACCTCAACAGAGTGGTCTGGGTAAAGTCTCCAGAATTTGAAGACAAAATCTCGATTTTTCATTTGTTTATTTTCCTCTTTCATAACGATAATTGCTTCACCGGGAGCTGAAAACTTTACGAGAATATCGTCTTGCTATGTTGGTCGAAAAGAACTACATCGGGCTTATGAGCTTGTATGAGCCTGAGAGTGGTGAATGAATAGTTGCAATAAAGTCGGCACTTTTCCCACAATGGATTTAATATCCTCCGGAACGTAGAGCAACACCGGCGTCTCGTCAATACCGTAAAAGTGAGGTAGTTGGTAATGAAGCACTCTTAGGCATCTCACACACTGATGCAACGCAACTGACACGAGCGACTCAAGCAATTAGTTACATAGATCATGTAACTAATCTCTGGATTTTAGTTCTGTAACGCGAGTCGATGGGAGAGACAAAGTTTACCTACAATCTCTGGTAGAGATAGGGCCAAATATAGTTGGGCCATACTTCAATAGGTTTAGATAGTCAATAATGATCTCGCTCTTGGAGATTGTTTTCCAGTAAATAATGAATTATTTTGACAGTGTGCAGCTTGAAAGCATATTTCTGACATAATACAAAAGAACAATAAATGTTTAAGTTGAAAGGGTTATATTTTTGTGATTAATTTTTGGGAAAGAAAGTGTTTGGCTTTCTACTAACCCATCTTAATACAAAAAAACGTAGGAATTCTCGAAAGAAAGAAAGCAATCAATTTCATGAATTAACTCTTTACCGGGTGTATCATAAGTATGTTGAACTTATTCCCGAGACAATTTTAAGAAAAAAAGTCTTCTAGAGGTACACGAGTAGGTAATACAATTAAGAACGATATTAATAGAGCGCCCAGTACGAAAAGGAAAGTTAATGCGTTGGATACGAGTATAAAAGGAACAAGAACCAGAGCACCAGCTTGGTATTGCGACCGTTACCACGTTGCCTTTGAAAATGTCTACCGCAGCCGTAGACGAAACGTCAGGCATAGAAACCTGCAGACCACGGCCAGAAAACAAATAAAATACCCTTCATACAATAATAATAAGCTTTGATTAAACTCACTGATACGAAAGTATGTTCATAATATCAATTTTGATTTTGAAATATGTAAAGTATGTATTTACTCAAATACAACATAAAATAAATATAAGATCGGTTTGTTAGGCCGCGCGAAATTATTTTCTCGTGTGGTAGTTTTAACTCCTAAGATATTAATTTAAGTTGTATGGTGTAAGAGGCAATAACAATGTGCATGGAATGCTTCAGTTAATTAATTTATCCATTGAAAGAATAATAATGTATCAGTCCAAATAGCTTCCCATTATTTGTGAACATTATTTAAAACATTTGAATATGTATTGTAAGCTTTCCATAAAAAATATATGCCATCGTGGACTATTTTGTTAGATCTGTAAAAATAAGACGAATATGTAGTGGATTGATCTGTGATATGACAAAGATATTCAGCGTTTTCTATGAAAGCACGTAGGGTAGTATCACCACCCCGTCTTCAAATGAATAACGTCATTATAATTCAACAAATAAAAAAAAAACAGTTATCAATGTCCCATATAAACCTTCCGCTTAAATAACTTCGTGAGCACACCCTGTATATCGGAGTTGAACAGTTTCCTTGAAATTCGGTCTACTTTATCACATATATCATTCACTACCAGGTTCAACAGAAATGGGTTATCTTAATGCAAACATTCATGATTAGGCAAACGACGTCCATAATCTATACAATAATTTGTCACCTATTAGTGAGGCGTAGCCCATTAACGTGCGACATTACTTAAACCGCTTTCTTAGTAAATTCCGAAGGTGCATCAATGAAGTGAGACAAAACTCGACACACGGGAAGTCGAAGCGAAAATAGAATAACGTGAATGAGTAGGTTAAACTCGAGTTTCTTATCGAATGCGCTCCGTTCAGAAAGTTGGTTTATTTGTTACTCGAAAGTGGTTACGCCTATATTCCTCAAACATAACTCAGTTGGTTCTGACCAGAAACACGTGAGCGTACCATAACAACTTTTTCGTGATAATTTTGTGCACCTGTTGATCACTTCAAGGTAAGTTGCGAGGCGAATTATGTCATTTGTTTTCAACGACTGGTTGATTGTTCATTCTAAATTCGCGAGCGTAGAATTCATAGCTTGTGGTGACAATTGATTTAATTTATTGCAAATATAAATGTTTATAAGAATTTAAAGATTGGGTTGAAAACCATTACTTTGATAGTTTGCCGATCACATGTTTACTGTGGGTTGACGAGATAAATAAACAAGAGTTATTTTGATAATAGTTCAGTGACGCAATTAAAAATTAACACATAGCTCCCAGGTCCGTATTCAGGGCGGTTTTGATGGGCAGAGCAAGTTATTGTATTAGATGATTATATCGGACTCCAAGGGTACATAGGGGTCGTTCCAACGAAAACTGAACCCCCTATCCTTCAAAATTGTAACTTGCATTAATTGAGATATTTAAGGTCGGCAATCGGCATTCCTGAATAATTTTCTGCCGCATCTCTTCTACATTTCTAGTGGATTATACTTTCGAGTCCAAGTGTCACCACAGAAATAAATCCAAATGTGAAAGATCAGGTGATCTATTTGGTCACTCCACTGAACCTCCATCTGCCGATCCAACGCATCGGAAAACATTCGTCGAAAAATTGTCTCAAATGACATTCGAAATATGGGGGAGTATTGCGAACGGACTGAAACTGCAACTTCAAATGACAGGACTGTATAACGTATTGGCGCCTTACATTTTGGAGGATGATTCAAATTTGATAGTATGTTCAAAAATTTTATATTCTTTTTTCAGTAGAACAAAACATGTTGGAATAAAGTAAACAAAGGTGAATACGATGACTGGTGATTTCTAGTTCCTAAGTTGTATTTATGTTGACTCAGGTAGTCCGCCTCTCTTGTTGGTTGGCCGAAGTGTTATTAGCTGCATTGCATTGCATTGCGCTGTTGCTACTTTAGTATCTTTTAGAATGTGATTCCAAATCCGGTTAGGCGTTATCACCTCCTCTTTTCTGTTGTAGTTTTCTGTATGTTTATGGATTTCTATAGCTTCCCGTACAAGCCGACTGCTGTATCCATGATAGGGGACAAGTAGTTTCACATCTTCAAACAGTATCGTGTGGTCTCCTTCACTAAGCGCGTGTTCCGCTACTGCCGATTTGTCCATTTTACTTAATCTACAGTTTCTCCGATTTGCATTCAGCCTTGTACCCATGGATCTTTTGGTGGTACCGATATAAACTTTTCCGCAGGTGCATGGTATACGATGTATACGATATACCCCCACAGCTGATAGTGAATCAATTTTGTCTTTCGCTGCAGGTCACCTGTGAAAAAGTTTATATCGGTACCACCAAAAGACCCATGGATACAAGGCTGAATGAACGTCGGAGATACTGTAGATTAGGTCAAATAATAGACAAATCGGCAGTAGCGGAACACACGCTTAGAGAAGGATTGCTATTGAATTAATTCCGAAAGACTGTGAAACGCAGTGTTTATTTTTATGTAATGAAATCATTCATTCAAGATAGTTTTGTTTCAATAAATTGGAAACCAAGACTGTAGTAGAAACAAAATAATGCATAAATCATATGCTGATACTCAACATCTGAATTCTCGATTGAAATCTATGTTCCATTTCTTGACGATCCTGGAAATTGCTGTCATCAGATCGTCTGCATGACTTGAAATATCAGCTTCAACTTTGAAAATATGATAGTATAAATTGTAACATTCAGCTATTTGAAAAAATATTATCCCCAGGTTGTTGAGTCATTTATAAATGATTATAATTATTTTGTTCCAGATGGCAAACTTACTCAATTCAATAATTTGGTTCATCATATTGATAGTTGTATCATTTTGGATAGCTGGATTTTGTGCTGGCCTTTACATATTTGTCCACCCACTTAGCGTCTGCATTCCACCATTATCGGTAAGTAAATAAATTTTTTTATTTTCTCTAGAAGAGACCACTTAACTTTTTCCCTTTCTACATGACTGCAGTCTGTGAAATATTACTTCTGGTTCAGTCCAGTACCACTCAAATATTTATACAGGACATCCCATCACTAAGGCAACAAGGAACCTGTCCCAAATGGAACAAGATTCGTTTCTATTTGATATTCGAGGAATGAGTCATCTGTCGATCACATAGTTGGTATCTTCGTAGGAGGAGATGTCTCCGCTGTCTGATGTGATGTTGCATCACAAGTTCACCTAGAGCGGCTTGCACTAAAAGCGAAGTGAGTGACAGAAAACGAATTTCGTTCATAGGTTGATGTCGAAACTTGGCAACAAGCAACTGATCCTCGTTTATATCTGATATTCGATTATTGACTTTTCTATCCATCCCATAGATGGCGTCATCGTAGGGGGGATGTCATCGCCTTTACTCTCAGGTTTTTTCTCTTTGGTACAGTTTGGTGATTCAGCCTAGCATCACTGATGGGACCTGGCGGATCGAAACAGTGCTGTCTGATGTTGGATCACAAGTTCACCTAGCTGCCTTGCACCAAAAGCCGCAGTGAGTGATAGAAAACGAGTATCGTTCATCGGTCGATGTCGAAGCTTGGCAAGAAGCCACTGATCCATGGGTAGTCTCGTTTATTTCTGATATTCGATGACTGAGTTTTCTATCGATCCCATAGATGGCGTCTTCGTAGGGGGGAATGCCATCGCCTTTACTTTCAGACTTGTTTCTTTTAGGATAGTTCAGTGGTTCAGCGAAGCAACACTGAAGAGACCAGGCGTGTCGAAACAGTGCTGTCTGGTGTCACTTCAAATTTCCACCATAATGAAGTCAAGTTATGAATTAGGATAAAAATTCATCGTTTCTCATTTTCCATAGCATAGACATCTTGTTAATTCGAACACTGATTGTCACATTGCTTTCTTCTAGTACCACAATAAATCCATATTATTGCTGCTAAATATAAAGGAAATGAATATAGTTTAAAAAACTAAAAAACACGCTTTCAAAGAACATCGAAGCGACGGGCGCTTGATATACAAAAAATATGGCACAAAGCGCCCACGCTTTTTTCACAATAATACTAGTATTTTTCGTTCGTTATTGTTTAAAAAAAATACATACAGGTGAAGCGTGTTAATTAAAAAAAGGAGTCAGATGTATGAAAATAGGAGATTCAGTCGTTCATACCAAATATTATGACTTTATTTTCACAATAAAATATAGAAATGTAATTTAATTCAATTTCCATCCTTTAGAAACTATTCGCAAATGTCCAGGCAACTACAGTTGAACGTAATTTTTTTCTAAGAAAACCTCTAATCATAGAACAACATTATGCATCTAATTGAATAATGGTAATTTTGTAACCACAAACGACAAGATGAGGATTATGGAAATCATTTCCATCATCATTATGAAGTTAGAAAAAAAACACGCAATATGTATCTAGGTATTTCCTTTAGTTCAAAATGGATTCCTAAATCGTGCTTTTTTGAATAACCTTTCTGTGTGTGGCAATTATTATTATCAATTACAAACTTGATTTTGGATCTCTACAACATTTTTTTTTTCAGGGACTGAGTGACTTTCTACTAACGGTGATTCAATTTCCTCATTATTGTGCCAAGAAGATGATGAGCGGCGAACCTTTAGGTTAATTCGTGCACTGATATAAGTATCTTAAAAAGTGTTCATTTATCAATTTGTCTGATACGTACAAAATATAAATATTTTATACTTTTGATGTTATTTCTAATAAAACTCTAAATCTTCACTGCTGCCGCAAATATTTTGTTACAAATTATTTTCTATACCTACTCCCAAACCTTGAAAAACCGGTGTTATCTTGACGTGAATTTTCAAACAATGGCTTTCATAGATTGAACAATCATAAAACGTGTTGACTCAAGTTCTCTATTACATGATATACCGGATGACAATGAAAACATTGTATATGGTACCACAGAAAATTGTTAGAATAAAGATTTAGATACATAGTTCATTGAAACCGATATTTTCAAAAATAAAACAATTGGATATCTCTTTCGATTTACCGAAAGTGGACTCACGACAAGAATTTAATAGAAACTCTGTATACATTTTTTGACCATTTGAGAAAACGAAACAATATAGGAGCTATGAGAGCCAAATTCAATATGGCGGCACGATGACGACATTTATGAAACTGATGACAAAGAATGTGTGAGATTCGGACACCCATTGTGTAAAAAAGTGTTTCACAGACTTGCAATTTATGAAAAAAAAAATGAAATATTAATAAATATCAGGATTAAAGAATATTTTTACAACAAGCTTTCATTTGCATGTTCTAAAAAGAAAATTGAATTGAACCTGTCAATTTATTACACAATTTATTACTACATGGTATAAAACAAAGCCGCTTTCCGCTCCGATGTCTGCTTAGATCTTTAAAAGTACGCAACGGATTTTGATGCGGTTCAAGATGAAGGGTTATATGTACCTATACAGTGTGTCCAAGATAAGGATCCTAAGCATGGGAATCTCAGTACCTGTTGGAGATACAGCTTAGGTTAAATTAGGAAAAAGTTTTGTTCTTTAAAGCTTATTTACATGCCGTTTAGAAACTTGAAGAATTTTCATGGCCTGCTGAGATATTTGGGAAAAACGAGAATTTGACAATATCAATTTTATTTTTTTCTGACTTTATTTGAAAAGATATCAAAAAACGAATAACACTTTTTCATTGGCACTTT